TCTCTCTCTCTCTCTCTCTCTCTCTCTTGCTTAGTACGTCTCTCAATAGGCTGATTAATTGTAGGGCGTAATCTGTCAACTCGTCCCCTTTGATCGCCCCGTCCAGGAAGACATGACACTCAAAGTAAATTTGAGACGTTTCTGAAGTGACCTGACTAATCCTTCCTATTGATTCCAGCAGCTGTTGCATTTCTGTACGCTTCTATAAAGTCAAAGTATTGAAAGTACTGAAAGCTGTACTTAAATTAGACGCTATAACAATGGCAATTCACGACTGTGTACTAAGTTAATATCAGGAGCAATGATTATGCTTTTAAAAAATTAACAAACACAACGTAAAAAATCCACAATCAAAAGGTTTTAATCAATTGATATGGATAAAAATATTTATCAATTGATACGGATATCTTTTAAACTGCACTGGTCGAAAAAAAAGTTCCCCGTCATGGGAGCAGCTGTCTGTTGGAATTGTCATTGTTATGTTTTGCGCCTCGCTTAAATGTTTTATATTCCTTTAATCCAGAATTTATCCAAATCCTTCTAAACAAAAAGAAGTCTCTTGCTGTGGTCTTCAATTCGACATTAGGTATATCAATGAAAAATATTCTTTTTCATTCCTAAGTTGATTCAATACAAACCTTCGAACTCGAGACGTCACAGAGTGAAACACATTTGTTTTGTACTAAGCTATGTTAAGGACGTTAATGGGAAGTGTGACCGTAATGTCTTCTCAATATGCTTAACATTTAATAATCACTGTAAAATAGTAACTTTAAAATTGTAGGGTCGCCCGCGTGGTGCAGTGGTTAGAGCGTCTGCTCTAGCGTCGCGAAGTAAGGAGTTGATCCTTATTTCGCGGGTTCGAATCCCACTGTGGGACGTGGAGACCGGTCCTTCGGATGAGACCGTATAAACCGAGGTCCCGTGTCGCAGTAGGTGCTGGCACGAAAAAGATCCCTCACTGCTCATTGGCCGGAAGTGCAGAGTATAGGACAAAATTTGCAGCTCTCTACCGGCAAAGGGTGGCGTCTCAATATGAGTGAAAAATTCTCGAGAGGGACGTTAGACAACATACAATCAATTAAAATTGTAGGAAAAGTAATACAGTTGCCTATAATGAATAGGTTTGTGTCGTAGATAGTATCATTTACATGGCATATATCAGCTGTGTGTCACGTGACTGGTATAAAAATAGTATTATTAGGCTGGATGTAGAAAATGACACTAGTGCAAGGGCATCCGGTTGTTTTTGGCCATAAAAATTGATACACATTAGCAGAGGTTTACATCCCCTACCTGAAAAGTGCTAGGAGCTAGTTTGTGTTGTTTCGGAAATTCTCGTAATTTTGCAGAAATTGCGTGTGAAAGAAAAAAATTTTCCACTTCGCCTCTACATCGTAATGAATTTTAAAAATATTCTTCAGATCAGAATCAACTCCCAGCACTTTTTAGAATACACTTAACATAAGCAATCGGTATTTCGTATTTCAGCATAAACAGCCAAGTGTTTGTTCTTGCACTTCAGGATCCGGTTGCACGAACGTTAGTTAAATTTAACTGGCCGTTAACTTTGCGTTAACCCGACGTTAAATTTAACGGCGAGTTAAACCGGTTGCACAAAAGTTAACTATTAGTTAAAGCTTGATAAATTTTCTAATTTAACTAACAGATTTAACTGAGGTTACCTAGGTACATTAAATATTTAATTAAGCATTAAAATCAAAATGGCAGACTTGTTATCGTTTCAAAACTTGTTTGCGTGGAAGGAAGAACTTATACAGAGATAATAGAAATGTCTGACTTGAGCAAACTCAATCCCGATTTCGATTTAGGCAAGGTTGTTTTCTACATGTATACATATATTGCGGATATATGTTGCGATATTATCTTCAAAGAACAACAAAACGACATGATTCCATTTGAGTGGAGATGAGGGTACTTTTTTTTATCCGATTATGCATACAATAAATGTCATTATACAATGACATTATGCATACCATTAAATGTCAATATATTTTATCAAAAAGATCATCATTTCAAAAAAATTTTAACCTCAGACAAGTTACTGAAAAATAGGCTAATCGCTCAATTCCACAAACTTCAGGCAGGTAAAACGGGGGGGGGGGGGGGGGGGGGAGAGTTCCTATCCCGCTTTTTGAGAGATTTTTAAAAAAATTATTTTCAATTTTCCCTCCCAAAAAAACCAATGCCTCTTGCTAAAACGTAATAAAGAAAACTACATGCAGGCCCGTAGGAAGCAATTTCATTTGGGGGGGGGGGGGGCACTATCAACTACCAAAAATTCCTTGACAAGCAAAAAAAAAAAAAAAAAAAAAAAAAGGTCATCAGGTATTTTCATTGAGGGGGCACAAGCATATAGTATCTATTTTTTCTATAGTACTCTATATGTCGGCAAAATTATTAAGGGGGGGGGGGCACGGCCCCCCCGTGCCCCCCCCCCCCCGGTTCCTACGGCCATGACATGTACATACTTTAATTGTAATTGCATTGTTTATATTGCAAGTAAATTGACTATCGTTCAATGTAAAAATTCATATTTGAAGTAACTATCTTTAATAATATATTCAAAATATTTTACCAATATAAGATTAACATTTAATGTAAAATTTATTTAATTAGCCTTAGAAAATTTCAACATTTATGAATTGACGTCATTTTAATAATGACGTCAGAACTGTTTAACCATAGTAAAGGAAATGCGCGTGTGGAACGATTATAACAGAGAGTTAACTATAAGACATCAATTAAATGTGAGTTAGCCAATTTATTTTGAATAGACTTTCGAACAACATATTTTTAACTGACAGTTACGTAACTCGTCGTTAAAAATTTAACAGCTAGTTACGACACTAACTGGGAGTTAATTTAACTACCGTTCGTGCAACCGAATCCTGAGGTTTATCGGGGATACAATTCGATATTAGCGATTTTCTTTACATTCTCTGACGCCGTGCAGGTTAATAAGGTCGTGAAAAATTAATTTTATTCACAGTTGTTTTCAAAAAAAAATGTTTTGTTTTCAGTTTTAATAATTAGATTTAAAGACTGACGGTGATTTTGTATTCAATTAAGCAATTTTGTAATTATTAAAACAATGGATCCACTCCTCTGTTGTACTGCGTCAAGTCAAGACAAATAACGTCATATATGAAACAAGATTTGTTTCTTAAAACTCGGCAGTCTCGTTATAAAATGGTGAGAGTTTGCATTCCCAAATAAATAATAGATAAAACAAATACATGCAATTGTTTTACGCATCATCATGCGGTATAATTAACTTTTCTTACTTGTTAAATTTTTAATGACGTCACAATGATAAATGCTACACAGTGCATCACAAATGTGAACTCAAGTATTCCTTAACGTAGCTCATTATCTGGAAATTTTACTATAGATGAATTTATTCGTGGCAAGCAGACATCAAATTTTTATGATAAGCGTGATGCTTTCAACTGTTCTACCATCATTTTCCCCTTATTTATGTAGCAATGTAACATTATCACCTGCAAATGGAGTTTATGTCTCCGAAACACAAAAGCAGGGCTTACAAGCCAACAATTCCTGAAATTAGGCAAGCTATTCACAAATAAGTTTTTGATAAAAAGACATGAACAGTCCCGTTTCACAACAACTATTAGCAAATTCTATGGTCGATACAATGACCTCATCAAAAATCGAAAATACTGTTCGTTATCTCTATATTTCATCTTAACCACGGAACACGTATATCATCTGGTAGACAGTCCCCGAGAATACTTTTCGCTCGCTATGTATTCATTCATGAATAGTACACAGTATAACAAAATGATACTGGCAGGCGCGTCGGTCAGACTCGAAGAGTTCAATCGGTGTCCCTTGGATAATCCTCAGGGATATTAAGCATATGTCATATGTACAATCTTCAGATTCCCAGTTTTGGTATAAAACCAATTTGTTCATATAAAAGTTTGAAAGAATGTTATATATTTGAAGATTTCTTTTCCTATCCCAATTTCCTCCATTTCAAAATGTTCTGTGAAAAACTGTAAATCCTCTGTTGTGTTGTTTTTATTACTATCTCTTCTTTTACTAGTAATATTACTGTTCAGAGCTTCGAATACCAAAACTTGGGAAAATCTAAATTGCAATTTTTTTTATGTTGTCAACGGAATAGAATATAACCCTTGTGGGTTCATTTATGTTGGTGAAACTAAGGGTTTACTTAATAAAAGATTATCGGTTTACAGATTTCAAATTGACAATGGTGACCAGCAGCTTTTATACAAGCACTTTAATTTAACTGATAATTCTATTTTATAAATGAAAGTTAGAATTTCAGAAAAGATTTTCTATCATAGTAATGGACATTTGCGAGAAGCACTGATTTTTACAGTCGAGCCTTACAAACCGTTATCTTTGTTTGTAAGGCTCACTATTTTAATTGTATTTTAGGTTGGTTGATTGGTTGTATGTTGTTTTTAGTCCCATTCGAGAATTTTTCACTCATATGGAAACGTCATATATATCAGTGAAGGGTTTCAAATTTAGACCTATACTCGGCACTCAGGGCCATCGAGCAGTGAGGATTCTTTACTCCTACCGTGGCACGGGGCCTTGGTTTTTATGTTCTCAACTGAAAGACCCGTGACTTTCACTTCTAGTGACGGACGCTTAACGAACAAACACTACCTAATATGTTTACGTCTTAGGTTTGACCTGGCACGGCGAACGAGAATCGAACCCCAGCCTCCCGATCACGAAGCAAACGCCCTACCACTAGGCTACCGTGACCGGTAATTGTACTTTAGAGGAACTGGGATTTAATTCTGCAAGTGGTAATCAAACATGCCCATAGCTCTAAAAGGAGAAAATACCTCAAAATCATACGTCAGTTTGAATATTTTCAATATTCCTAACAATCAATTTGATCAGCCTGATGAGCTAAAAGAAGGAAATAAAATGCCCTAAAAGTACTAATTTACGTAGAAAAATAGTCTTACTTCTCGATACATGGTTGTACATATGTAAACTCGAGTTTTCTCATTTTTTCTCGTCGATGTACCGCAGTATTTGCCTGTCACACCTGCATGGATCGTGGAGCCTTCGTAATACCTCTGCTGCTATCGTCTCCTGTATCATGTATCGTGCTTGTCGTGCCAAGATCTTGTGACTGGATTAAACGCTTCTCGAGTCACTCACAAGATTTCTGTGTTCAAGACAATCATCTGATATACAACATAATAGCAATGGTGTGCTTTCTTATTGCGATTTATCTCACTTTTCGGCGACTGTTATGGAATATCAGGAAGATAGTCTTACTAAAGGAAACACAGGTACATAACAGCAATACTCATCATCAACATTAATACCGCATTATTGTCGTTTTTGCTTTTATCGTATTTATCATTTTCATAGCTATAGCAGTCTATTACTGTTATGATCTACATTATCGCCATGGCTATTCAAATTATCAGAATTTGATTAAAACTGATTCAATAAAAACAAAATAAATGTTTGACATGGAAAACGAGATGGTTCTTTAAATTACTTTTATGTGACCATGAAGACTATTCTTGAAAACGCAAATATGAGCAGAACATGCCATGTTGCCGTATTATTAAAAGGAATGTTGCTATATATTTTGGGACCGGCATTACTACTATCCCCAATGCCACTTGCCATCAAATTGTGGGAAGTAAACTCTGATCCCGATGATATACCTTGTAAACCTGCCTGAATGATAGAACTCTTTGGACAATTTCGTAAATTTGTATCAGAATTAGTCTGATATGTGGTTTGTGTTTGAGGAAACATTTTCTTATCTAAGCACAGAAACCATGCTAAATATATAAGCACATATCCGGTCAAAGACCACGTGGTATTTGATGCCATTTGAACTTGTGTATTTATAACAAGGGACACGCCACCAATAGCAAATAAAACACCAATGAAGGAAAGTGTGCGGAAGCATTTGACGATTGCCCTTCTTCATGTAGTACAAGATAGGGATGGTGATTCCAATTTCCATTGAACTGACTCCAGAAGCTGCCTGTCCGTTGTTCAAAGACTTGAATATCACAATACATAATCCAACTGATTCTAATGCAGCAGATATGACAACCTAGGCAAAAAGATAATTAATACGTTAATGACGTGTTTTTATAAAACACGATTACACGCACTTTCTTGCAGGGAATTTGTTTTACATATATCGATTTACTAGTACTCTTATTGAGTTAAAAATCAGAAGAGGTATAAAATTTTTATATCATATAGCAATAATTTTTCATATTTCAGCAAAACATATATTTGCAGAAAAAAAATCGTACCAGAGCTGTAGCTTTCTTTTTCGGCCATGAACAATCAATTCGTCCAAAGATATTCCATAAAGATCTTAAAAGAGATATCACATTTGGTGCCAATAGAATGATAACACACAATTTGAAGGCCTGATATTTAGAAGCATTGTTGTTACTCAGATGTTGGGCTAGCCCAATCACAGTTAGTTTACTGGTCACGAGACAGAAAAGCAAGACGACAGCAAATGTTAAAGTCGTTAGCCATTTGAGAATTACAACTATTTTAGAGGGTCCCTCTGATTGAATAACTCTGTTGGTGCTTTTTTTTATTTTAGACTCTTTTTTCACGATGAGATAGGAATAGTTAGCTTCGTTCGGAACCTCTCCTTTTGTATCTTCTTGTGACGTCATATTATACTGTCATCCGTGATCACTCCTCTCACTCCTCTCTTTGATCAGCTCAATGTAGGGAACTAGAATATTTCAAAACCGGTGCAACAGCCTAAACTAAAATAAATTATGGAATATATTAAAAATTATATAAAAGTAGTACTTTTATTAAGATTTCAAATGTACATATCATTCGCTATTTTAGACATACATTGAAGCAAGAAATATAATAACTAAGACACTCATTAGAATTGACCCTACAATGGGATATGAAAGATAAGAAAATTAAAGCAAAACAACGAGTAGGACTACCCTCGGGGCTGCCTTAAACTTGTCCTAATGACCTTGGCTCATAAACCTAACCCAGCTTTATTTTACAAGTCTAAAGTATTAATTCTTGATGGTTTTCTACACCAGTAAGGTATCCAGTGTTTACAGTGTTTATATGTAATGTAAATGTAAAAGATGAAAATAACGAAGAGTGAACGATCTCAAAAATTCTATAAACAATACAAATATGTGAGGAAGGCATACAACATGGACCCCTGGAAACTTCAGAGGTGGGATCAGGTGCTAAGGAGGAGTAACCGTCCCCTGTTGACCGGTCACACCCGCCGTGAGCCCTATGTATTGATCAGGTAGACGGAACATTCCGTAGTCAAATTCAGTATGAAACAAAGGCTTAACAATTGGTATGAATCAAGTCAGCCAAAATACAACCCAATGATGGTTATTTTTGCTAACAAGGTCATTATAACGACCATAGAATTTACGAAATGCTAACTTTAAACGAGGTGGTCACAATCTCTGTAACATCAACTCATCTTTCAGTAGCCTGTCTCGTTTTAAAAATTGATCGTACTCAGAACCTGCTCTTGAGTATCGAATAAGTTAGTAGATGTAAACAGTAGTCGAATAATACTACAGAAATAAGGAAAGTTGACGATGAAAAAGTTAAAGTCATCTCGTTTGTCATACAGTTCAGGTGTTAATTGGCCTTTCTCGTCTATTGCCAGTAAAACATACAAATATGAGACTCTGCGATGCCTTTTACTTCAAGCTTACTGAGATTTATCGAATCGACATATGAATGAAAGTAAATATTGTTCATTGATAATACATCGACGATATATCTTAATGTCAAATTGAAGACCACAGTGTTTTCTTCCTGTCCTGTTAATTTTTTTTTTTTTTTTTTTTTTTTTTTTTTTTGTAACTTCCGCTTCATAGGAATATAAAAACAGGTCAGCTAATTAAGGAGCACAATTAATGCCCATCGAAATTCCAACAGATTGTTAAAAGACCTGGTCTCCGAAGACTACATACATCATTTCAATGAGGAACTAAAGCATCCTTTCAATATCAACTTATCATAAGTGTATTATGTTTGTAAATAATTAATTACAATTTTCTGAAGTACTTTACTTTCATTACGATTTTTCGGACAATTGAAAACGTACCTCCCCTTACTGTAAACCTACCCTGAGGAAAATAACAGCTCAATTAACACTTAAAGAATGTCAAAATAAACGTGAAAGAATTGTATTTTTTAATTAAACATATAAATGAATTACGAAAATTTAAGACTAACAAGACTAAGTCAAAGAAAAGCCGAACGATTTATAAAAACATACTTTTCCATTACTTGTTGTGTTTACCACAAAGATTTAAAACGCCGATGTTTGTTTTGTTTACGGCCGCAGATCGCTGGTTAAGACGCATTGGATCTCTGGTGATCTCCTCGGTTAAACGTGATGAAGGGATGAGTTACATAATTTGTAATCTCAAAACATTCAGGGGCCTAGATAAATATAATGCGTGAATTTTTTTATGCGTTAAAGTTTTTCTTTTGATTGTTTTAATTAAAACTGTTTGATTTTAAGGGGCCTGGACACAGTTGCATTGTTTACATTTTAAATCTCTATGTTTATTCCAATAATAGAACCAGTTAAATGAATTGAACTTACTTAGAAATCAATGACAACGACATTCCTTTTTACTTCACATCAAACATCTGCTTTGTAAACAGGGCACGAGCTCTGTTATTGTTAGTGTTTACGCTTTATCGGGTGTGTTCAATTCGTTAACTATGTTAAACTCTGCACACGTCACTGAACACAGACTGACAAGACTGATGAGTTGGTTTTGCTTTCTCACATTTCTTCTCTGAGTTTTCTCGATTATAGTTTTAGTATATTTCATTAATGCACAACAAAGAACGAGTGCACTTATGGGCCCCGATAAAATGTGAAAAAATGAAGAATCAAATTAAGTATAATTTTTCATCTCAGATCATTAATTGATATCTAAACCATAAGATTCAACAAATTTTATCGCTGAAATTCATGAATATACAAAGAGCAAAGCCATACAATGTGGTAGGGGTCAGCCAACATTCGTGATTTTCTATAGTAAATCGAGGACGGTCATTCATTTCAAAACTTTTGTTTACTGTCAGCCTAACGTTGTACAAACTTGTGCGAATGACAAAAAATGCATTATACATTTATAAAACTTGTGTGAAAGTAGGGAATTTGCACAAAATTAGGCTTGTACTTAAAATATTAAAAATGTATGAAAAGTTCAATGTTTTCCTATAGCAAGCGAGAGCTCTTTACCTGTATGACCTATGTTGAACCCACCCGTGGAATAAATTATTTAAAATACCGGTAGTCACGTGAGTTCTACCATGGTAAACATTCCTCAAAGGTGCTCACTGTAAAAGATATCCACTTTTTGTATCATTATATCGAAGTCGTGCCGCATAGAGAAGTTTGTATGTATTTGATTTTAGGAACACGGGAGGGTTAGGAGGGTTTAGTGTCGTTCAAATGTCATCATACATAAAAGCGTCAAACATTTTTAACATTCATGCAAGACAATGGTACCGGTTTTGAAAGCCACCTAAATACACTTTTTTTCAATTTAAAATTTAAAGGAACTAATGTTAATACTTATTGTATTATTTCAAATGCAAGCGTGCAAATTTCTTAGTTTGATCACTATGGCTACAGGCATCTATACAACTTCATTCGATTCTTTTCTCAGGTAAAATAGCGCAAGAAATATCATTCGGCAAACGCGCCCGTCAATGATCCACTATCAGTGTCCGATTTAAATGTCTCCTCCCCTTGATTTAAATAAACGAAACTCAAAATAGGTTCGGACCGACTTTTCCGGATTTGGGGTATCTATATGCATTTAAAAATCTTCATTTGTTTCAAATCCATGCTGATTTAGGTGATGTTTTAACGTGATTTTCATTAGAAATATCCACTTGTGTTTAACTATTACCAAAAGAGAACGATTTGGCAATATATTCTAAAGTAATAGGGCACTGAAAAGGGCCCATTAAGCATTGCTCAAGTGCATTTGTCCTTTCTACTTTTCATAAGTATTAAGGTTAAAGTTTACTTCGTGAAAGTGGAAGGATATGTGTCAATCAAACGCGTCCCGAAATTCGTAGTTTTAGTAATTTTAATATAAAAGAAGTTTCTGAACACGTTTTATTATGTTTCCGTGTGAAATGCTGAAGCAACAAATAAGTCATGATACTATATAGAAAATTTGAGAAAATATTAACTTCAAAGGTTTGTTAATTTTACAACTAAATAAAAAGAGAAAATTTTCATCGAATAATCTGCAGGGGAACCATAGAGCATCTTAACAACCTTATTTTCAATATATATATATATATATATATATATATATATATATATATATATATATATATATATATATATATATATATATATATATATATATATGTATATATATATATATATATATATATATATATATATATATATATATATATATATATATATATATATATATATATATATATATATATATATATTTCATTTATTGTAGTAACTTAGGTATATCATTTATAGCAACTTTATTTCAGTTATACGCTTTAAGGGGTACCGACCCTCTGATAAGAAAGATAACTTTCCAAGTTGTATTTCTAATAATACTACTCATAATTTTCAATACCAGGCCTTGTGACCATAAACCAAAAAAATTCTCAGACAAAATTTATTCTCAGAATTCAAATATTTACTCAGCTGAGAATTTTACTTAAAACTGAGACCATAAACAGACTTAAGAATTTTCTCAGCTGAGAAAGAACGACGTTGTACTAAGACGCGCATTTACGCACGCGATACGGTTTCCAAGTATATTGTGAAGAACTCAAGGGGCCTCGCCGGAACTCTTCAGTAAATTATGGTAAATAAACCATAGCAATATGTAAACTATTCATCGTCTGCTTATTATTAATAAATAAAAATGGCAAAGAGATCAGCTAACTGGACTACGGATGAGGAAATGGTTTTAGTTGAAGAGGTTGGGAAGCGGGAAGGGGTACTTTTTGGGAAAATGAAGGGGGATGGGTGTGTAAAAATCGGGGAAATTCGGAATAGAGGGTGGCAAGAAATTGCAGATGTTTTAAATGCGTAAGTATTGTAATCGTTATGGAAAACAATAGTTTATCAATATAATGTTTATAAGCTAGATCGATGTTTTCATGTTGTGTTTACTTCTCAATGAGAGGGGAATTCCGTGTCTAATTTTAGAATTTACGGGAGTTGAGGTTAAAATTTTCTTAGCTTTGATTTATGCTTTATAAACCAAATGCCGTGAGCATCAACTGACTCAGTTAGATAAAAGAATGTTAAGACGATAAACCCATTAAAAGTACATTAAGAAAAAGTACATTAAGAATTTCTATAAATACCACGGGTACTTGTTATATTATGCAAAAGTTCAGTATAATAAAAGTTGTTTCCCCTAGCGGGTCAACCAAAAGGTCATGAGAAAAAAAAGGAATGTTTATTTCCTATATACTACCAAACGTTGGACATGCTGCGATGAATTCACCGTTTTTATTTTTTTTTCTTTCAATGTATAACCTATAGAACAAAGAGGACCCCCTCCCCCCGAACTCCACATTATAGTATCCCTGTTAAGTTCTTGTACCGAAAATTCCCCATCCCGCCTTTTGTTACTTTGTCGAATGCTATTTTGAATGCCTTCCTTTCTGCACTCTGCATTATAAAAGTACCACAACAAGGAAACGTCTGTATGGAAACTATATTTACATATACACCATAGTATCGTTCCATTTTTAATGATAATACTACTAATATCTTATAATGGTTACAGGCGATTCAGTTTTCGGAAGCGGGGCACACAGGAAATCAAAAAGAAGTTCTACAACATCAAACAACGAAGTAATATACATATTAATTATAATTTCATTCTATCTAAATATTAAATGACATACAAATACCCCAGGCTTTGGCTTGACTTTTTAAAGAGATATACTTGCATACTTTTTTTGTATTATAGCAAACTTGTTTTAGAAAGTCAATAGTATGTCGCTTCCGTTAAAATAATTCCTTTCAGTAAAAAAAAAAAAAATCCATATATATATTTTTTTTTTATAAACTCCTTTTTTAAATTAAAAGGCAAGGAAAAGTTAGATCAAATTAAAAGGCCAAAAACAGGTGGTGGACAATGTGTTACTATGTCTTCATCAGAAGAACTCCTTCTCGAGACAATGGAAGGAAGGCCTCAAATAGAAGGACTCACTTGCGGAATTGACACTGATGGTACAACTAGGAATTAAATTTAAAATCATTAATGACATAAATTATTAACTATCACACACATTATTTTATCGTTTATATCCAAAATATTCAAAATAACAATATCAAAATATTACAAACTAGATACTTCATGCACGTCTCCAACAGACGAGCCTCACGTGCATGGTATTGCCGATGACAAAGAGGAAACAAATAAATGTGAGTGTCAGTTCAAATAAAAAAATATGAATTACATGTGCTACATGTGTAGTATATGTCTTTTCTAATCAATCTTGATAAACATCCATGCACTTAATCAATTTGATAAAATATAATTCAGCATCTACAACAGACGTCACAGAAAAAAGGTGTTCAAGAAACGAGCAACCTGGTAGGATGTAAACATTTTTTTTTAAATTTCACATAATAAAAAATTAAATAATTTTGCTCTATTTTTCTCAAACGAGACCTGAGTTTTGTTTGTTTGATTAGGTTGATTTGCATTTTTTCCCTGTTGTTTGTTTGTTTTGGTTTTTTAAAAATTCATTGACGTTTATTTTAACCAGTAACTAGAGAGAGAGGGTGGGGTGGGGTAAATTTTTATACATGTAGCTATATATACAAGGGTTGTTCATAAAGACCATGAAGAAACGCTATATTTTTTAAAATAATGACCGCACTGGTAAACGTGTACGATAATATTTTAATAAAAAATTAAGATTCAGTAAATATATAAACAATGCACACTATTTTACAAACGTTAAATATTATATCTCTGACGTCGTTTTAACCATTTCAAAACATATTTTTATGAATGGACGATGATATTTTCATAACAAATAGTTTGATATCCAATAAGTTTATCTAGGATCATTAATTTTGATTAAAAAAACATTATATATATATATATATATATGTGTGTGTGTAAGTAAAAAAAATGACAAAGAATTTCTGTTATGGTCATTCTCCTTAAGGGAAATCATTTGTCTTTTAGTTACATTCGGGCAAAAAACAGCTGAGCAATTTCATTCCTCTTCCTGCAGCCATCGTTACTAGGCGGAATTCGATCTACATTGTTGATGCATTCTTGTATATCAAAATCTACGCAATTGCTACTGATGAAAATATCACGATTCTACATGTAACTATTTCCTACCTCTCTCGAACTGGTGGCATAGCGCAGATGACCTCCATACTCTACTGTCGTGCGTTGATCCGGGCCATCTCGCACATAGTGAACTTATACGGAAATTGGGGTCGCAGACCATCTGCATATTATAATATATATTACTTTTGATATACAGTTCTGTGCCAAAAGTGAAGATAAATTTATTTTTTCTCTATATATTTTATTGAAAACCACATACATGTATAGTTAAATCGCTGGCATATTTTCATTTTTTGTCCAATTTCATTATTTATTTCAGTACTTAAAACAGAAAATGTGTAGTTATCTTTTTCTAAAAGATCATCACATATCTAGTTTTTAGAAAAAAATATTTCATCATTTACATCAGTTCTAAAATTCAAGATTAATGTTGACTATATAATTCATTGTGCGTATATGACTTAAATTTTCATGTCGCACTTAAATTACAATATTTTTTTAAATATTGATGCTGATCAGTATTGTTTTTATAAAATAAAACAATTTCTTGGATTATCAAAGAAATTTGTGGTAAAATCTCTCAAGAAATGTTGTCATTCCAGTGATTATACAAAATGTTGTTTTCAATGAAATATATAGAGAAAAAATAAAATTATCTTCACTTTTGGCACACATCTGTACCTGGCTATTTAATATATACATGTACTTCAGTGATACTTTGAAGCAGAATGTGCGAGAGCGCTATTTTAAGCCATGAAAAAATTGTCATCATTTCTAAATGGAATATCATCAATTTTATTTCCTCAATATAAATACTGTAATACCTGCACATTCAATGAATGGTACCCCTTTCTATTAACATAGTCCATTTCATTTTCTGATGGCATCATTATGCGAATTAACGTTCCATCCACACATCCGAGTACTTGGGGAAAACCTAAACAAACAAAACTAACTAACTAAATAATAACGCATAAATAAATCTTAATTTAAAATAAAAAAAAACTAAGAAAAACTGCCAAATAAGACTTGGACAATTATTTATTTTTCCATATGGCCACTTCTTCTTTTTTTTTTTTATGTTTTCAAGTCCGACTGAACCAAATTTTCAAGAACTTGAAGAAGACTTGAAAAATATATACTATATACTAGTAATTCAAAATGGGTGCTCAAGATGTTGGATCCCAACTTTTACTACGGAAATTTAACTAATTGAAATGGAACTTTTATTTTTATTTTTTGATTTTAATGTTTTAGAAGGAGGCGTCCGGGATAAATTTGATATCTGACGTTTTTATTTTTATTTATTTTATTATTTTTTTTTTGTCCGTTATTTAACCAATTTACCGACCCAATTTTTTTTTAGGAAAAAAGTCTTGAAGAACAACTAATAAAATGTGTCCTAGATAAATAAATGCACAAACGCTACTGGCTACTTCTTGAACATGTTTCTACAAAATATGACAATACAACATTAGAATATATCAAAAAAAAAAAAAAATTGAGGGGTGAAGTTTTGGGTGGTCACAGTGTTAACTTTTAATTTCTATGTTATTTCACTCACTAGGGCTAAGTTAATATCCACAAGCGTTTTGGGTTAAAACTGGCACACTTAATATTATAATATTCGAGTACCAGTTTCCCTCTATGGTACCTCGGTACATTCACCAATGAAAACCTATGGTGACGAGACCCGTTATATCAACAATAAAAGGGCTAGTGTAAGTGTTTTTTTTTCCCTTTTGCATAATACTACATTTGTTACTCTAAATGCATGTTATAATTTGATATATTTGAAATTCACTGACAATTTGTTCAACATTTTTTGACTAGGCCTATATCACATATTTTAATCCAGGTGGCGCTTTTAGTTGTCATTCATGAACTAAGCGACATGGATTGATGAAAGTCGTTCCTTGCGGGTAAGTTCAAGTTGTGATGTTTGTTAAAGTAGCAAATAATGCAAGGATGAATAAGAAACAATGAATACCTGCAATTCGTCTGAAACCCTCCATAACTTTGTAGGCAATTTCACCAACCGGAAAGGCAATGAACCTTCGGAAAACACGGATGATTAAGGAGGTTACAGTCCGAATTTCCCTCCCGGCAGCATTTCTAGAAATATTTAGACTGTCTCCTATGAGAAGATGCGTTGCACCGGTGGCCAGAAATCTTAAACACAGTAAGATGGAAAGAATGGGCGAGAGGGCCATGTTCCTGTGCGTATCCCTTTCCAAATTTTCTCTAATCTCGTCGTGAAGGAACAGAATTGATGCCCTACGGAACCGGTACCTCTCAAATAACTCGTTTTCATCCAAGGCAAGGGGATCCTTTCTGTCACGGAACACCCGAGGAGCTGGCAGTGCCATTCGATAGCGTCTGTTACGCCTTATGCGTCTGTGTACGGCCGCCATGTTTGAGACTAAGAATTTACTTAAGTCTGCTACGAACCAAACTTAAGAATTTTTTTATTCTGAGAACAAATTTTGTCTGAGAATTTTTTATGGTCTGCAATTGTTCTCAATTTGAGAACAATTTAAAATTCTGAGAAAAAAACTGAGTTGAGAACTTTTTTTTTGTCTGAGAATCGTTTTATGGTCACAAAGCCAGAGTTTCATTATCGAGACCTTGGAGTAGTCAATTCGATCAAACCTGACTTATGATGGAAACATTACCTTCTATTTCCTTTTCATGAGAGCTGAGTTAACTGAGTAAGCTTATACATATTGGGAGATCTGAAATAATATGGTTTGATATATTTTCTTCCTAAAGAATCATAAACAGGACATTCAAGCAAAAAATGATATTCATCTTCGATACGGTGATCATTACAAAATTGACATACTAGTATTCTATTACTTCTTTCTATTTCCTGATATCTTCCTGTTTCTATACTTAAGCTATGGGAAGAAAGCCTTATTCTAGTAATATACTTCTTTAACTTAGAATGAATAGGTTTTGTCAAATATGCATGGATTTTGGAAAAATTGTCACACACAATGTGCTTATACAAGAAACGCTTTGTTGAATTTTCAAAAAAGGCATTACAATCTTGAAGGTAGATATCCAACAGTCTTTCCTTATATAAAGATATAAACTGTATTGGATTAATAAAATCTTGATTGATTCAAAAATCCCAAGTCCCATTCTAAACAACTCATCTTTAACATCCCTTGCCCAGTTAAGTTTGGAGTGTAATTTATTTTCAGCATTATACAATAAATATTCATAAGAAGATTTCAATATACAGTTATTTGTACTAAGTAATTTACATCAGCAAGGCATAAGACGTAAAAGTCTACGTCAAGCAAAAAGAAGGAGAAAAGGAGATTTGGTCAGATTACTTCAGCAAAATATGGGATTGTTTTAAGGAGTTATTTTCCTTTTGCGTAGTATTCCGTTGGCAATGAAAGCACGTCAAAATTATAATTTTTTCATTAGATTTTTGTAGATTCTTTATTTCGTATACTGTATTTGGCATTTGTACATATGATATTTCATTTATCAGAGGCCATGATAAGGAGTTATCTATGCTGCACCAATTTTGCAATCGATATCAAATTGAACTTCTTTTATCTGCCTAATAATGATAAAATATGCTACTTTTGTTTTTAAACAATATATGAGTTTTTATTAATAGAAATTAACATTTAGACCTAAAGTTTTCTTGATAAGATAACGCATAATAATTTGCAAGAGAAAATATCGTACTGATAAAAAAGCACCCGTGAAATGTCGCATACTAATAAAATAGCAATCTACACCATTCGAAAAATATTTCACCCTGGCATTTGTATATAAACAATCAGGCGCGGATCCAGGAATTTTTTCCAAGGGGGAGGTTACCCCTGTCAATAAAATGTCAAACCTAAAAATTTCTTGACAAGCAAAAAAAAAAAAACAAAAAAAAACAAAACAAAACAAAAAACAAAACAAAACTTAAAATCCATATCCAAAAGGTGAAAAGCACCTATTTCGTGGTGGTGCTGGTGGGGTCCACGTTTTCTAGGGGGAGAGGGGTCCAAAGTCATTTTTATTTGGTTCAGTATATACTTTAAATAACTCTGCAAATTCCAGTGGGGGGGGGGGGACCCCCTTTTAGATCCGCGCATGAACAAGTTCATAAGTTAGAGTTAGTATCCTTTGCGCTGATAGTATCGATTATAGTTCACAATAAATCGATCACTTAAAATTATAATTTATTACCTGTACACTCCTGTACATTACTTTATACAGTGGATATGGGTCACATGATATTCGTTTTGATATCAACGGTTGTTGAGTCATGATGGATTAATTTTTCGGAAAATGTATGATGTAAAAGTAGAGTGTTGGGCATCGCGTTTATTTTTATTTATTTATTTATTATTTTTTGAGTGGCAGGGAGACCTAAAGGTATCTGGATATTTAAAAACAAAAAGCAAATTTATTTACTATGATCAACTATAATAAAGGCCCTTATGTTATATCGTTTACGGTACAATCAAAATATGTCTGTAGGCTTTTTGTAGAGGATAAATGACTTGAAATTCTTTCACTTTATAAAATTTGGATAATTAATTGACAGCTTCCTTTGACTGTGCTTCAAATTTTAATTAAGTTATTTTTCTGTAATTCGCTCCCCTATCCCAAAAAATAAGATGCAAAGGTCCTTTCCCAACCTTCTCCAAATGAGAGAATTTGTCCATAAAAATGTATTTTTTGATCGGCTCCGTTAGAACACAGCAGATTCTTTGTGAGGCATGCAGATAATGTATCCATTTGCGCTCACATGACGCGACGGGTTACTTTGTTCTTTATGCACTGACAGATTCGTGTAATTTTATCATAACAAATTATTTACTAAGAAGCTTTATTAATGCATTAATTTGAAGATACGGACTTTACGTGAATTAACACCCTAATTAAAGTCTAGGAATGAAACACTATGGGTAAAAGAATAAAATAAAATATTTTCATTTCAAGAACTTACCTGCCTGACGAATAAACCTGATGTAAGAGTCTGACAAGTCATGCACTGTAAAGGAATACATGTACGCGGCATAATTAAGATTTAATCATTGATCACCCATGTAAATTAAAAATACCTCCAACCAATGAAAATTATTAAATGATTCATTCATTCATTCTTTATTTCCTCATGACATGAGATAATATATAGAACAAAATCAACTATACATTATACAAAATATACAAAGTAAGAAAAGAAAACAACCAAACAAAAAGGAAAAAGAAATCAGAAATGAAAAATAAATAAACAATGTTATATACAATTGTCAGTGTGTTACTTCAAATAATTGTACTCTGATTACCAATTGCCCCCCACTGGCATATGTTGATGCATTACCCTATAGTAATGTGCCGACGCATCCCGTATAAGTCGATAGTTCCTTATTTTGAAAGTTACAATATTGTGTGCTTCTATCCTGGTGTTTGGAGTGCGACCGAGGAGTATTACGTATAGATCTTCTTCGGTGAGCGCACACAGTTCAGCTGACAGTTCAATAGGAAAGGTGTTAATTATGTCACTCCACCAGTTTTTCCGGATGTCCAAAGTGATGAGGCACGAACAGCTGACATGAACAAACAGGTCATGGAATGTAGCCCCGCAGGAATGGCAGATATTCAGTGAATCACGCGGTGGATCGGAAAGGAGTTTGCATATAAACTTGTATAAGCGGATTTCATAACAATTTTTTGGCGTTTGCCAGAAGGAAGATGGATTACTATCACTGAAAACTGCTAGAAACCTCGAAAAATCTATGTTGATTGCCATGCGACGTTGTCTAAGATCCTTCTGTTTTCTGCTGGTTGTGGATCTCACAATGTTTCTCCAAGTAAGTTTGGAAGGGAACACGCCATCAGCTACCCACTCGTGCAAGAATTGAACAAGATCATATGCAAACAGTAATTTAACGACATCTGGAACAAATCCTTGTTGGCAGTTGCTTAGCTTTGCAAGGAAGGAAAATAAACGGACTAAAAATATTTTCTTTGGCAAAAAATTACAGTTCATACGACAGAGACGTCCAAAGAACAAGAGTTTCCTTACGTCTATCTCAGCACTTATTGGAAGGACGTTGAAGAGGCTTTCGCAGATATCGGATCTAGACTGACGTGGAAGGTTCTGTGAAGTCTTACATATAGAATGTTGAAAGACATGAAGACGTTGAGAATCTGTTGCTGATAGATTATTCCACAGTTCGCAGCCGTACAATACGGAAGGCAGGATGACCGATTTGTATAGGTGAACTAAGGTTAATGGATTAAGGTAAGGAGATCCAATGTCTGTGAGAGCGTAAAAGGAGTTTCTTCCTTTCCTGCAGGCAGCATTTATTCGATCTGTTAAGGAGCAATTTCTGTTTAGAATAATTCCTAAGTGACTACAGGAATCTAGACAGGGAATAGGAACATCACCTAAAGTCCAAATGAGTTGCTGATTAGTTTTATTACCTTTAGCTCGAAATCGAAGAATACAAGATTTGCATGCGTTGAATTTAAAGCGCCATTTCCTGGAATATTCATATGCAACATTTAACATGATTTGTAGAGAGTTGGGGCTTAATCCTATACAAGAGATGTCATCTGCCAGTGAGGGACAATTGCTTGCAACATTGAGTAATTTCGTACATGCTGAGGATTGTTCTAACGTGTTAATCAATTCGTTAATAAATACTAAGTACAAAAATGCAGACAAAACACCGCCCTGTCTTACACCTTGTTGAACAGAAAACCATCTCGACTGTGTTTGGTTAACAATTACAGCACTTGACGTTCTATAATGACAATCATTGATAACAGACCAGAGCCTGCCAGTTATACCTAAATTGTACAATTTGCAAAGAAGACCGTGTCTCCAAACGGTATCAAAGGCTTTGGAGCTGTCTAAAAAACTTACGTAAACATTACTTCCTTGCTCTAAGTAATAATATATGGTTTCTTGTAAATTAAATGATGCGGTTAAGCAGCCTAAATTGTCCTGAAATCCCTGCTGTTGTTTATTTGGAAACAAATGATCAAAAAGGATATGTTTCTTTATTCTACAATTCAATATGCTTTCAAAGATCTTAAGGAAACATGACAGTAAGGCAACCGGTCTGTAGCTATTCGAATTTGTTTTTGGTTTATCTCCTCCTTTGTACAAGGGAACTATAAGTCCTTGCTTCCAGGCCTCTGGTATTTTTCCATGTAGTACAACTGCATTAAATATTTTAGCAAGACATTGACATAACCGATCCCCACCAAAAATTATGTGTTCGTATGTTATCTGGTCAGGACCCGGTGCTTTCCTTCTTTTGAGTTTGCTAACGAGGAGTGATATCTCTTCTGAAGTAATAGGGCCACCGGGAATATCTCCAGACATCTTTGTACATTCTTCTTCAATGAGCTTATATCTGTTTTCAATATACAGACGGAATTCTTCATCAAATGCATCGTCTTCTGAAAGGGTGTAAATCTGTTCGTAGTGACGTGCAAAGGCTTCAGCTATACCCTCAGGGTCATTGTAGATAGTTCCGTCCTCTCCACGTATTTCGGGATAAGTCCGCGATGTTCTCTTCTTTTGCTTCTTCACCAGCTTCCAGAAAAGACGAATGTCACACTCAGCTGCGGAGTCAAGATCATGATAGACATCTTTCATGTGCCGTTCGTACTCCAGGTCCAGAGCAGTACGGAATTGTCTCTTGGCTCGCTTATAATCCCTGTACGAATTGTGGATCATCCCCCTCGGTCTTCCTTCAGCAATCCAAATACGGCGCATTCTGCGTTCGTTGGTATGCAGAGCCTTCACTTCTTTGGTCCAACCTGGACGCGTATATGGATTGAAGCCTGAATGCGGTATATTATCTTTTGCAGAGTCCAAAAGAATATAGACCAAATCATTTAGAAATGTATCTGTTTCGGTCACAGTTTGGAGATCATGCTGTATTAGGCCCTCGATAGCTTCGTTTACATGAGTTTTATACTTCGTAATAGCCTCAGAGGTTGCCTTATACCATGCTGGTAGTCTTGTTTTAGACAAAAGCAGGGAATGTTGAGAGCATTGAAGATCTAAATCTGCTAATACAGGTAAATGATCTGATGTAATTTGCAGTGAACCCTCATAATATATTTTGTACAACAAAAGCTTGTCAATTAAGCGTTTGCTAAATAAAACATAATCTAATATGGTACATTTTGGCATAAAAGAGAACTTTTCACCAGTAACATGAAAGTCTACAATGGGTATGCCGATAGCACACCGTTTTATAAAACCACAGAAAAAATTGTGTTTTGCAGCATTTGTATGGAGCGGACTAATACAACTACTGTTAAGATCACCTGCTATTAGCACATTACCATATTCACTGTAGTATTTATACAAGCTTTCTAAAACATTAAGCTCATACACATAAGAGCTGATGTTACCATCTGCAGGTAAGTATACCCCAAATACGTACAACTTTTCAGTGCTTGTTTTTAACTCGATTCCAATAATCCGCTTGGAGTCGATTTGAATTTCTTTGGATGAATATTCTAAAGATTTCTTAATTAATAAGGCAATTCCTCCTTTACCTATAAAATATACTTGAGATTCATTATACACTTCGTTGACATCTACTTTGACAATGCTATAATAGTTCTTATCAACAGAGTCTAAATAAGTAGAACCTGTATGCTGACTCTTAAACTTATGTTCTGAAAGAACAGCTACATCACAGTTTGTATTATCTAACAAAGATGCTAGACACGAGGTAGATGACATTGCACCTCTGACATTCCATGCTAAAATACGTACCATGGTTGCTAGAAATATACAAACAAAAATAAGTTTTACGCTCATTGTCGGTGAAATGAAAACATTTTTATTATTAACATAGTTAGAGTCAGTATCCGTTGTAGACTTCTTGTTCCCAGTCTTCTGGTGCTGACGAAGACGCGCATTTTTCTTCCCATTCACGCTCGCTCAACCACCTCCTACATCTTATCCCCTCAGGCCAGAAGTCGGGGTTTTCGATAAGGTTTGCATATTGCGTGTGTACGTTGAGTTTTGCCGTGAGAAAACTACCTCTGTATTTTGGTTTGAAAAGAACGAAATGGGTAATTTTTACACCACTGCGTTGAATATAATTTTGGATACCAAAACTAGTTGATGTTTTGTCAATTCCGGATAGGTAAAACCGTGCGGTTTTCTTATACGTCACTCCTATAAATATGTCTTTTTTGTCTTGGTTCTGATTAGACTTTTTTATTCTATCGTCAACCGTTACAACACACGAGTCTCCATTGTACTTTACTGATCGAAACGCTTCTTTTGTATTGCCCTTTGATCTGGCTCCAGAGGATTCCTTTGTCAATTCGATTCGCGTTTCTTCTTTATTAGACCGTGACGAATTTACGGTTTCACCTGGAGAGGCACACGACGGGGAATCCGAAGATGATCTTGTTGGTCCGGTCACATTCGGTTCTGAAATTTCGTTCCTTATTGCATGAATTTTTGTACCTATATTCTCTTCCAAAGTGTCAGAAATTTCGTTTGCCAAAGCCGCCGGTGATTTTTGTGAGGTAATGTGGGGGTGTTTCGTCTGGTCAGTAGATGTGACTGCCTTAGCGTAAGATTTAGCCGGGCTATTTTTTTTACTATTAGCACAGATTTTAGAAAGTCTTTTGATTTCGGCATCAGTTTTATCTTGTAGTGAAATGATATTCTGGATGTCTGATTCTGTGCGCTTGAATCTTTCTGCTGTGTATTTCTGTGAGGAATCATACTTTGAAAACCTTGAAGAGGCCTCTGCCCTTAAGTTATCATAGTCGGACTGAAGTTGGTCGTGTTTTGATTGAAGTGATTGGATTCGAGAATTCAAAGATTCAATTGTCTTATTTTTATTGCTTACAGAACTCTCTAAGTCAGACACACGTTCTAGCAGGGATTGGACTACGACTCTAAGTTCTACGATGTTGATTTTAGAAACATCGGTGCCATAACTCTTCTGTTTATCAAAGATATTCTCTATACCTGCCCTTTCGCGGAGGGATAACATGCACGGTCCTGATCTATATATCAGTTTGCCGCTGTTTGATTAGTTGGTTTCAAATGCGGAAGATTTTTTTTAAACTTACCGATAAACCATCCAAGTACACGGAACGGGCACAAGAGACAGGGACAAGTTTGCTTCAAAACAAGCTTTAGTCCTTCATCCTTCATTACTTCTCAATACAGCCTATATCTTTACTTTAAACATATTTTATCGAATAACTCATTAAGGATTGGGAAACAGGCAAAGCCTATACATACTCTCCTTGTATAATAGGTCAAGACAGAGACAATAAATAATAATACTTGTACATGATAATAAACATCCTAATAATAAAAAATAAAGATTAACAATCAAGTATTATACACTAGTATTATAAAAAGATGATAACCCCCTAATTGTATACAAATTATTTACATACTTTTACAGCTTTGATATAAATGTTTTATATAAAAATATACATTTAACAGAGTATTTAATATTACAGGTACTTAGTTTAGTCTCTTAGTAGATTTAATAAATTCGTGTACATATGAAATTATTTTACAGTTTGTTTATTAGGAATATTGACATTTTCCTCTTAACAGAATTAATATCATTTAATTTTTTAGCACTCTCATCTAGAATTTTTTTTTAATATGCTATATAATAAATTCTATTTTGTCATTTTTTTTGTTTGGCTTTTAAGTTATTCTAAATTCAGCATAGTTTTATACAAAACGCTTAACATGCGATTTTTTTTCCAGAGAATTATCCCTTTTCACCCTCGACATTAACCGTAGACAGCAATTATATGACTTAAAAATTTGCTCGAATACTTTTTTCCTTTCACCTCAAATGGATCTTTTATGGCATATTTTGGAAACACATGGATATTTTTTTTTCAAATCATACAGAAATAAATGAAATGCTTTATAGAGGAGGTCTAGCACGCTAATCCTGTACTGCTAGGAGACACATTCCGTAGGTCGAGAGTTCAACCCAGGGTTGAGAGTTATTGTAAATCAAATGGGTTTTAAACATATATTTTTTTTCATTACAACGTGTATCGTTAAGGATATTCTGTAATAAAAACTAATGTCCAAATAATCGTATCTCACTTCCATTCTCAATGACCGTGCAGTGTAGGACAGCGCCGCAAGATTTCCATCGGCATTGAAAACTAAATTTTTCGACTTGCGTACTAGTTGGCCGAGCGGTCTAGCGCGCTGTTCCTGTACTGCTAGGAGACAGGTTCCGTAGGTCGAGAGTTCAACTCCAGGTTGGGGTGGAAGTTAGTATCCTTATAAGATAAGCTTCTCTGTGCTATCTACATATATTTATTTATTCTATTTAATTTAATTATTAAGTTATTTATCCGTAGTCAGTCAAAAAAAAAAAACAAAAAACAAAACAAAAACAAAAAAACAAAAACAAACAAACAAACAAACAAACTTGAAATCCTGTTGATCAAAGCTTATCAAAATTTCTGATTTCGAACATAAACTTAAAAATAAAGAATCCTCGTCAAAGAAAACAATTTAAAGTGGAACCTTTGACGACCTTTTACAATCAGTTATCACTCTAAGTTTATACTTTATTTATCTTGACTTTTTCACGTTTCTTGGCCTGGTCTGGTGCGGTCAGATTACTGCTATAATTAGCCTAGCAGGTGCCCCCTCTATCATATGTGACCATTCTGTCGGGAGGAACTATCTAGCGACCAATACACACCGACATGTACCTCAGGACCTTACAGTTACTGGTGATCGGCGTAATAATACATAATACACAAGGTAAGAGGGGATACTTCGTTTCCTGGGGGTCAATTTGACGATTAACTAGTATTATCGGTAGGGGAAACTCTTATTTGTTGATAGATTTAAAAAATAAAAACTAGATATGTGAACTCTGAAAATTCAGAAAAAAAGAAATTGTATGTTGCGTCCATCCGAAATCATTTATAAACGTCACAGTATGGAGCCAATGTCAGAAGTTAATAAAAATACTCTATTAAATGGAAATCATAGAGAAACATAAAAATAATCAGTAGCATGTACCCCACTTCAACAACATCAGAAATATACATATGAATTAATATGAATATTTATACAATTTTTTCCTCCAAACACAACAAATTAATATTTTTCTAAAACAAGAAAAAAATTAGCAATTTTCGGTTTAGAAGTAGAAACTTAAAAACTGCCGTATTTCTTGTTCACGGAGACTTGTTTGAAGTTAGATAAAACGAAAACAAACATATTCTTATATTTTTTTTAATTTAATAAATATATTATTTATGCAAATGACAAAACATTAATACAGAATTATGAGGGATGCGTCGCCACATGTACACATATATGATACGTTTTGTGTATTTCTCGCCGGCAATTGCAAAGTTTTTAACCATGTTACTAAACAATATTTTATAAAAAGATCTCTAATGCTTTAATTTCGCAAAAAAATCTTGTTGTGCGCTCCCTTTTTAGAGGTAGTCACGGTCATTTAAAGGGTTAAGTGTTAAAGATCTTCCATCGCCCGTTTTGCAAATTATCTCAGGTATCGATATGTCCCTAATGTCCTAGTATACCAAACAAACTAGACAGAGATTCACTAAATAGATTAAGTTGTCCCTAAATACATGGGTGAAGTGTTTTCCGTTACCGAGTTTTTGATGTTATCTTTAAAATTTTCTTCTGTAAAATTCGGACACTTTCGAGCTTTTGATCCTTTGGAAGCGATTTCCGGTTTAAGCGAAAGTGAAAACGGGGTAACTTGTTCTGGTCAACATTTGCGCTCATCGATAATTATCTAAAATGTAAAAGATGACGAAGATTAAGAGTGATCGATCTCAAAAAATCTTTAAACAGTACAAATATGTGAAGAAGACATAAAACACGGATCCCTGGAAATTCCATAGGGATCAGGTGCCCAGGAGGAGTAAGTATCCCCTGTTTACCAGACACACACTCCCAAGGGATCGATTAGATTTTTAGATTATTACTTAGTTATATAATGTATTTTATTGATTATGAGTTACTGATTTTATTGATTTAATGTTTTTGATTTTAGGTTATACTCTATCCAGGCGTAGAAGATGTGCCCCTGTCAGTTTTATGTGTTTTAACATGAGATACGACTTCTCCACTGGCTGTTTTGTATGTGGAGGTAAGGGGAGAGAATAAAGTACGAAAAGTAAACAAAAATTGATATCTCTGTATATCCGGATATTTATTATCTTTCTACACTTTCGGTTTTGTATTTTAGATACAAGTTGCTTACTGTATGTTTTCGAGATAAAAATAATTCTATACATGGTGGGCGTGTTATCAAGCTATCACTGTGGGTAGCACGTGACCTGTGTGTTTGTTTGTTTGTATGTTGTTTAACGTTCCTCTCGAGAAGTTTTCACTCATATGGAGACGTCACCGCTTGCTGTTGGAGAGCTTCAAATTTCAACCTATGCTCGGCACTGAGCAGTGAGGGATCCGTTTCGTGCCAACACCTACTGCGACACGGGACCTTGGTTTATACGGTCTTATCCGAAGGACTGGTCTCTACGTCCCACAGTGGATTCGAACCCTCGACGTAAGGATCAACTCCTTACTTCGCGACTCTAGAGCAGGCGCTCTAACCACTGCGCCACGAGGGCGACTTGATCTGAGTGTACACATTGGATAAAAAAGTGTTGAGAACATATTTTGTTTCTCTTATAAGAACATTACGATATCATTGATGACTACATTTCTTTACTTGTATTACACGTGCTTGTTTATTATTGACTGACTTTACATTTTAGCAGGACTTCCTGTTTTATCTTTATAGGTAACAATAACCAACAGGCTACTACGACGACAGCTACTCCACAGTTCACCAACACCGTCAAAGGACAACAAAGTACACATTACATACAGATAGCAATTCAAAAAAGAGAAATTTTGTTTCTCAATCATTTATTACAAGGTCAAACGTCGAGGTCAAAAATCGAATTCAATGTCATTTTGATGGTTGTATTTAAATAATTGCAATTTATAGGACAACGTTAAGTAAGATGCTATGATATAATGAATCACCAAGATTAAATCTAAAGGAACTGAGGCATTTTCGTCATTCAAAAATACTGTAAACCAACTATTATTCGCGTCATCTTTTATTCGCGATTCGTCAGATTGAAATCAATCCGCGATTATTAATTTTCGCGACTGGGGAAACATTCTGTACAAATAAAAAGAAAAAAAATGATCTACGGCGATTAATATTTGCGAGTAAATGTAGGTTGCGGAACTCGCGGATATTTCTCGCACGCGAATAAAAGTTTGTTTACAGTAAGCAATTTTTGATCGGGATAGGGATCCAGATAATATTTTTTCTTTTACCAACAGAATGTACAGACACGGCTGTTAACTGTCCACATTTCATGATTCAGTATGATAAAGATGGCTGTCCGTATTGTGGATCAGGCGGGCCAGGGTCAATGAATAATAATGGATGTGAGTTGAAGAATAATTTTATTTACTTCAAAGGTTATCATCTGGAAAAAAAAACACAACTGAAGTAAGGGAATAACAACGATCAAAAAAACTTTAGCTATATAACAAATATGTATAGTGGAATCTTAGAAATGTATAGTCCAGCCTAGTTCATCGGGACAATAGATATAAATGTATTTTAAGATTTTTTTTCCTTTCATTTTTTTTTCCGGAAATGAAACATCCGGTATATTGGTGTCTGGTTATCGTTGATCTACTGTATTTGGTAACGTAATTTATTTTCCTTATTTCACGAAGTTCTCAACCAGGGAGCCGAGACGAACTGCCTGACGTTTGCCGAATTAATGAAGTGCCCCATGCAATGTCATTATACAGATCCCATAAACGGCTGTAATAAGTGTACCTGCGATTCTAACGGTAATAGTTGTATTACTAGTACTATTTTCACGAGAATGTCTTACTATAGACAGTTTTTATAGCAATAGTAGAACAGTAGAACCTGAGTAATACGACAAACACGGACACACGGATACACAAGGTGTCAGAATGCAAAATGTTTGGAATATGACAAATAAAAAAATGACAATAAAAAAAAGGTCAGAAATCAAATTGAAAAGAACTGTTATCTTATAAGACATATTAAATAAGTAAGCTTGGTAGGCGTTGGTCATGTAAAACACACTTAACTAATTTTTCTTTACGCGTTTTCATATATATTTATTTTTTTGTTATTTATGCAATTCCTGCTTTATTACAATAATTTTCCAAACATAGAATCATTACTGAAGGTTTATATGTCAATATACGATACTTAAATAACTTTAATTGACTGTCTCAATTTGATTGTCTTACACACACCTGTAAAATAGACATAATCTTACAACTGCTAAGCTGAATTTATATGTGAGACAGGAAAACGGCTTTTTATTAATATTTGTGAATAAATTGAGGCAAAAATGTTATTTATTAGGCAGAATTTATTTTGTACAAATTATCAAATTCAATCTGAAATCTTTTCAATATATAATCATTTGTTTTACAATATACTGATTGAGAAAATAACAATATTTACCGGAAAAGCCTTTCTATTCATTCATGATTAAAACATTTTTTCTAACACTGGTTTTATCATGTTAACTGTAAATATATTATTTTTAATTGTTCTGTGAACAATGATTGACTTTTTCTTTAAAAAACAATTACCCTGAACCATTAAAGAAAAATTGCAGATGACGTGCCTGAACATTTTGATTATTTAAGCACATTTTTTTTTAAATATGATTTAATATCAAGAAAGTGAATAGTTATCTAGCTGAACAGTCCATTGGTAAAATAAAGATGGGCAGTAGAACAAACATGGAGCTTTGAAAACATCAGAGGGGGGATTAGGTGCCACCGGAGAGTAAACATCCCTTGTCAGCCGGTCAAACCCACCATGCTCTCTTTGCCGTGATCTAACAAAAAAAATGTTATTAAAATACGAAGACAATCAGTGTGAAAATAATAGATAAACAATTTTTCTAAAAAAATTCAAGTCAATATTCGACTTACGGATAGATTATATTTGCATACAAGGTCATTGTATCTATCATAGAATTTGTAAAATATTGCCTTTAATGACACCGTTGATATCCTTGTATCATCAACTCATGACATCATATGATAATAAAATTATATTTACGCAAGTGATTTAAGGCTAGGTATAGGCGTTTCTATGCAAATGAGCTAATAAAAATGCAAAAGAGGTATATTTATTATACAGAGAAAGCTTACATTCATTTTCTTATACATACTTAGTTCCCAAAGCATGTTATAGCAAATGCACATTATGACGTCATATTATGACGTCATTGTTCTTTTGTACTCAAAGTAATAAAACATATAAACAATCGGCTTTGGCGCAAGGGCATACCCTATTTAATTTTAAGTAAATTATGTATAATACGGCGAAGAATATTCTAAAGATTAATAAAAGTGCTGCACAAATCCTATGCACTTTCTCGCTTGATAAAAATTTGAGGAAACTTACGCTGGACTTTGAATTTTTACCCTGTTTCAACTCAAAACTTTACAAATAGTAACTAAACAATTGATCTGTCGACATTTGTGCAGCAATATCACAAATCCTTGGAATATTCTGCTTCTAATTAGACCCTGTTTCTATAAAAATAAATAGGGTATGCCCTTGCGCCGAAGCATTTTTGTTGATGTTCTTTATAACTTTGTGTAGTAGAGAGCAATGACGTCATAATATGACGTCATTATGTGTACTGGCTCTCACTTGTCGCGGGTACCAAGTTTGCATTAGAAAATAAGTTTTAACATTTTCTGTATAATAAGTATAACCCTTATGCGTTTTAATTAGTTCAGTTTCATAGAAACGTCTATACTTAGCCTTAACTCACTTGCGTAATCAAATTTATTTAAAACCGGATTCTGGTTATCTGATGTAAAAGCGATATGTTTCAGGAAACCCTATTACAAAACCTACAACGACTACTCCCTCAACAACAACTACACCGACTACAACGACTACTCCCACGACAACAACAACTCCCACAACAACGACTACTCCCAGGACAACAACAACTCCAACGACAACGACTACACCAACGACAACGACTACTCCCTCGACAACAACTACACCGACTACAACGACTACTCCCACGACAACAACTACTCCCACGACAACAACTCCTCCCACTACAACGACTACTCCAACAAAAACGACTACTCCCACGACAACAACTACTCCTTCTCCAACGACGAAGTCTACACCAACACCCACTACAATGACTTCTCCTTCCTCAACGACGACTCCAACTCCTACTTCTAAGTCTACCACAACGACTACTCCCACAACTACTTCTACTCCAACGACAACGACTACTCCCACGACAACAACGACTCCCACAACAACAACTCCTACTTCAACAACTACTCCTACTACAACGACTACTCCCACGACAACGACTACTCCCACGACAACAACAACCCCCACAACAACAACTCCTACTTCAACAACTACTCCTACTACAACGACTACTCCCACGACAACAACTACTCCCACGACAACAACAACTCCCACAACAACGACTACTCCCACGACAACAACAACTCCCACGACAACAACCACACCGACTACAACGACTACTCCCTCTACAACGACTACACCAACGACAACAACTCCCACAACAACAACAACTCCAACGACAACGACTACTCCCACAACAACAACAACTCCCACAACAACAACTACTCCCTCTACCTCAACGACTTCAGCCCCTAATACTACCTCAGCTACAACGCCGACAAAGAAGACTACCACCACTAAACCGACACCAAAGATTACCCTGCCACCAGCGAAAACAACTACAGAGAAAGTAACACTTCCGCCGTCCCACTCAGCAGGAACGGTAAACGTCTCTACAACAATAAACCCCACAACCACTGGTAAGTATATAACAGAGATCATCAAAGCTTAGAAATTATAACAAATTTATGAACAACGGAAATTGGACTGCACTTAAGCACTGCAAGAAAAACATGAACAACAACATTTAATAGCGTACTGCAGCGTAGCACAGAAAGAAGGACATGCATGATAAAATGTTGTGGATTATACTTTAGCATTCTACTTCCTGAATAGTACCAATTTCCTATCTGAATAGTAATAGTACCCATCTCCTTTCTGAATAGTACCTACTCCTATCTGAATAGTAATAGTACCAATTTCCTATCTGAATAGTAATAGTACCAATTTCCTATCTGAATAGTAATAGTACCCATCTCCTATCTGAATAGTACCTACTCCTATCTGAAAAGTAATAGTACCCATCTCCTATCTGAATAGTACCTATTCCTATCTGAATAATAATAGTACCCATATCCTATCTGAATAGTAATAGGACCCATCTCCTATCTGAATTGTATCTACTCCTATCTGAAAAGCAATAGTACCCATTTCTAATCTAAATTGTACCTAATACTATCTGAATAGCAATAGTACCCATCTCCTATCTGAATAGCAATAGTACCCATCTATCTGAATAGCAATAGTACCCATCTCCTATCTGAATAGTAATAGTACCCAACCCCTTTTTGAATAGTACCTACTCCTATCTGAATAGTACCTACCTTTATCTGAATAGTAACTACCCCTATCTGAATAGTACCTACGTCTATCTGAATAGTACCTACGTCTATCTGAATAGTACCCATCTCCTATCATCCAATTGATTAGTGACTACAGCAACAAATATTGATTCTTACCACTAAGTTAAAATAAACAAATAAACAACGCCAATTCTAAGTGACTGAGAGATGAGTCAATACACAGTAGAAAAGCAAATATGTAAAAAGAAAAATGTAGAAGCATATGGAATCATTTAATGGCACCATCAGGTACGTCACAACGCAGGTTTATTTGAGGAAAAAACCCCGTGATTGAATTGATGCGTAATGAATTAGTGAAAGAGAATGACCAAAAATAAACACCAAAGAATAAAGGATATATTACCTTCGATTATCTTGCTGTATTGTTTTTGTCATTGTTGTGTCCACTTTTTGATATTGTTGTTTTTCTTAGGTTGTCCACCATTTCCAAATAACTGTCCAGGACCCTGTGGAAACTTTGACCCAGTAACTTTCTGTCCAGTCTGTGACTACAAACTGTGTGGTAGTAAGTAAACTTTGACCTCCTGGACTTTTGTCCAGTCTGTGACTACAAACTGTGTGGAAGTAAGTAAACTTTGACCCCTTGACATTTTGGTCTCCCTTGGTTTACATGTAAACCATTGAGAAATTCTGCAGACAGGTTCCGGATTTCCAATCTACAACTTGTCAGATTCTTTCTTTAAGTGCTATATTTCTTACTAATATCATCTAGAACAAATGCACTCACTAAGTTCCAGAATTGTAATTTACATCATGCCTGGTTTTCTATTTTAGTGACGCCTCCTCCAGCTGGCTCCTCTACAACTTCCGGTTGTCCAGCAATGTTCTGTGTTCTCAGCTGTCCTAATGGTTTCAAGAAAGACACTAACGGCTGTGATAGATGTGAATGTATTTAAAAATAAATAAAAAATATAGTTATTACACAAGTTGATTCGCTTCTTATGTGATTTATGCTACTAGGAGATTTTCTCAATAGTATCACAACCATGCATTGATATAGATAACTGATGGATCAGAGACACAAGAAGCTTATTGGAAATGAAAAAAAAAAACGTAAAAAGTTAAAATGCTTTGAAAAATAAATTAAAATTACTCTTTGAAGAAAACAAGAAAACAAACAAAGAGTAATTAATTAAAATACTCTTTGGAGAAAACCCATAATTTCATTAAAATTTTGGAATATTTGTTTGATATTTTAATTTGCGGCTGTAGGGCGAGATTAAAAAAGTATTTGTTCTTAGGAATTGGAAATTCCTCTGGACAAATAAGATATTTGTTCGGACGAATAAAAATTCATTAGATACTATCTAGGCGAATTAGATACGCGTTCAGACAAATTCGATAATTATTGGAACGAATCAAAAATTCAATCGGACGAATTATATATCCGTACAGATGAATTAGCGAATGTTTTAAACAAATAAGAAATTAGATATTTGCTTGAATATATTAAATATTTATTCAGGACAAAATAGTAATTTACACTTATTTTCTTATTTTGAGATATTTATACCTAACCCTGACCCTGACCCTAACCCTAACCCTGACCCTGACCCTAACCCTAACCCTGACCCTGACCCTGACCCTAGCCCTAACCCTAACCCTGACCCTGACCCTGACCCTAACCCTAACCCTGACCCTAACCCTAACCCTGACCCTGACCCTGACCCTAACCCTAACCCTGACCCTGACCCTAACCCTGACCCTAACCCTAACCCTGACCCTGACCCTAACCCTAACCCTGACCCTAACCCTGCAGATCTAGCAGAATTCATTTATACAGAGAGGGTTCAATATTTATTCTTTTTTCGTTTTTAAATTAATACATAAATGGCTGTTTGAACTAGTTAAATGACATGTTATAACTTAAAGCGCCGCTGGAGGGCCAGAAAAAAAGAAAATAATTATTAGCTCGGACAGATTAGAAAACCATTGTCAACTGACGCGTCAGCGGAGGTTAACAATGGTTTTCCTTGGGGTGTCAATTTCAATTATTACCCTCCAAAACAGGCACCATTTATGTTATAGTTACACTATAGATATTAATTGGTTAGCTGTAAATACACTCACAGTTTTTCATTCACGAGGGGCGGTGCCCCGAGTGAATAAAAACTGTGAGTGTATTTACAGCTAACCAATTAATATCTATTGTGTAAGTTACTTGTACCAGAGGACCAATGAGAGAAAAGCAAGTTGATAAATAGCACCGCCTACTACGAGGTGTCAAGACACGGTCCGGAGTCTGTATAAATAGCTGTCTCCATCTGCAAGGATCATACTTTACTGCGGCACTGCTACTACAAGTTGTTTTAAAAATTTAAAAAAAATCGGAATTGGTACGTGTGAAGATATTGTACCTTTGAAATGTTGAAGACGCAGAAAACATGAATTTTGTCAGGTACAGGTATAGGGGTAGCGATTGTAGGCTTTTATGTTCAAGCCGTCAACTCTGAAAGAAAAGTTATCTTTCTAGATTTTTTTTTTTTTTTTTTTGAAAAAAGGGGGGATGGATATGGGAAACATCGGCATTGAACTTTTTCTTTATGGCAATCGGCCTACAGAAAAAAATGAAATGATTTGTGACATTTTAATGAAAGTTTGTAATGGTATTTGAAGTAAAAAAATGCGGGGACTTTTGATGTGAAATTGCTATATGTATTTGGAGACGGGAAAGAAAATGACGAGAATTCGAGATAGGACGTATCATTTACTGATTAAGGATAGGCGGAGAAAACATACAGAACCATTTATGAAGCGGACACCGACAAGCTAAATATTTATAATGTTAGTATTTTTGAAATTTAAAATGTTGACTTAATTCATTCATCAGGCATTGCCTTGGTCTTGAAATTGACATCATTCATTCATTAGTCAAGGTCTTGACACAGTATGGCTTGATGCCAAAAGGTGGGCGTGACTTAAAAAAACTGTGATTCTTCTGGCAAATACACCACAGCAAACATGAAAGCAAAATCTAAATTTACCGCCAGTCCTATGGTACAATTTATTATACTGATTTAGGATTTCTGAAAAAAAATCGTCGTTAAGTTTACGTTTTGAAAGTTTAAAGCTCCCCGCTTCTGTTTTAATTTAATAAGAAAGCTTCAAAAAAGATTTACCGACCTCTTTACATTCTCTATTCGAGTTGTCGTTTCCGCTACGCTCCCACATATATACACCTCTGTCACGTGCAGTTTAAATCTGAATAAGTATCTGCGCTCGCCCTAACGGTCGCACTGTCAACATATTAGATTTAAAATAAATGATACAGTATCATCTTTTTCGATAATTACAATAATTAATAAATTTCAAATTTTCAACATTTAAAACTTTTACACGAGCCTTGATAGAGGTGTTGGGTGCGTAGTGGAGGACAACTCTGGAAAGAGAATGACCTCTTTATTTTTTGTTTGATACATAAAGAGTCCTTTATCATCTAAGTTTCTTTATTTCTGCACTCACAAACATTTGTTGTTTTCAAGTAAGCTACATCGGACGCAAGCTTTGATTGACGTCAAGTTTATTCGGCTTATTTCAAACGCACAACGTCGCCTGCGTGGCGCAGTGGTTAGAGCGTCTGCTCTTGAGTCGCGACGTAAGGAGTTGATCCTTACGTCGCGGGTTCGAATCCCACTGTTGGACGTTGAGACCGGTCCTTCGGATGAGACCGTATAAACCGAGGTCCCGTGTCGCAGTCTGTGCTGGCACGAAAAAGATCCCTCACTGCTCAATGGCCGTAAGTGCCGATTATAGGACAAAATTTGCAGCTCTCCACCGGCAAGTGGTGGCGTCTCCATATGAGTGAAAAATTCTCGAGAGGGACGTTAAATAACATACAATCAAACGCAAAACTGACGTTTTATGAATTCTACGGTGAAACATACGCGCATGATTTGCACGCATCTGACATTATCGTTGTGTTACCCGTTGCCAAGTGTGTTGTTCAAGCTGAGGGTCAAATTTCATTGAAACAAAGATGAGAGTGAGGTTATATGCGTTATGTGTATTTATTTTATTTGGTATAAAACTGCTGTTAGTCAAATCACAGCGGTAGGCAGGTGCAGATCCAGGAATTGAAATTAGGGGGGCGAAAGTAGGCAGGGGGTCTGGGGGCCGTCTTGAGGCCCCAGTGGGTCCAGATCGCAGCCCTAGTGGGGGCCTAGGAGGCAAAGCCCCGGAAGATCCTGGTTTCTAGAGACTTTGTAGTGTAAAACAAGGTCTACAGAGTAGACATTTTACATTTTCTCGACGAAGCTGATTTACGCTAACTTTGACAATTTTAGGGGGGGTCTGGGTGCGCCCCCCCCCCCCCCCCCCTCACTTTAAATCCGCCACTGGTACGTACACATAAAACTACACAGGGACCTCGTCTAAAACTAAAAATAAACATCGGTTGTTTCCTAATCGTCGGAATTTCATAATCTTTCTTTCATTAAAAAGAATATCACGATTGGAACGTGCATTTTATTGACTAGCATACTATCAGCACTAATCTTGCATTATCGGAACTGAAGACAGGTGAAATTATTTAATTCCGTTTTCTTCAGTCTATTATCGTTCACAAATTCAAGCATGCGCGTTAGGTCATTCATCGACGAACTTTATCAAATTTTCGTTCATTATCAATATACAGAGAAACCTAATACAGCAATCTATTTCTGAAAAGTCAATCAATATGTTTTAACCTAAATTTTATTAGCAATCATGTAAGAAGTGAAAGCGGATTAAATGAAAACTTAAATTTGAGACCCGGGGGAAGTGTTTATTAACGATTTACGATATCATTATAATGTGGACTGTGACAGTTTATTTATTGTGCATTTCTCTACTAGCAATAAAAGGTTTGTGAATTCTTTACACAAAACATTTCAGGTAAATTAAGAAATTAAAATTTTTGTGAACAAATATTTAAGACACCCAAAGCTTATTATATCGCATCAATATATGGTATGCAGTTATTGTTTTGTATAAAGATGGCCTAAAATGACTTTAGGCATCATTCAATATAGCAGAATATATATGACTTCAATGTCTTTTCTTCTTAAGACTTCGACAATTTTTTTTATCCGATTTATTTATTAGTCTGTATTTATCTCCGAGTTTTTGAGTGTGTCATGCAGTATCACATTGTATGACAATATTTATATATTTCTTAATGAATATTTTACTTGAAATTTCCATTTGAACTTCATTGTATTACTCAAAAATAATCTGAGCTAAATATTGAAATACGCGTAAATTTTTGAACGATATATATCAATGATTAATTTTTTTTTTTGTTATTTACAGGAAGTATTTTGTTTCGGCGGAAGAGCACAAAATGTGAAGCAGTGGTGATGTGTCCCCAGTTTTGCTTAAAGGTGAAAAATGGATGCTATATCTGCGAATGTGGAGGTATGAGACAGAGTGAAGACGATAATCTGTCTGTTATAACATAACCACTCTGTGATAAGTAACTGTACATGGTTTGTGTAGAAGGATATCAGAAGAATAAAGCAATATTTAACAGAAAAATAGATGTATGATATTGTGGAATAAATATACAGTAAAACACGCATATAGCGAACATCCTTATAATAAATTGACGCTTACAGCAAAGTGATTTTCATTTTCCGTGGCTTTAAGATATATTGTGAACTTAATAGATAAAACGAACTATGTTTACAACGAAGCCAAATTGTCCGTCCTTGGGACTTCGTTATAATGGGTGTTTACTGTATAATCTACTGATAAATTAATACTGGTATTAATTCGTGTACAGATTAAGTTTCTATCTATAAATATCGCTATCTATAAATAGCTTAAAGGAATCACAGTTTTATTTTGGTAGGGGGTGCACTTCATCCATGACGGCTTCCAGATATCTTGCGTTTTTTAAATTTAATAATTATTAATAATTCAACTGCCAATTCTGTATAGAATTACTTAATTAAATCTCTTTTTTGAATTGAAGCATTTCGGCATTAATCTGTATTCCATTTTGTACTTCTAAAAACTCAAATGGTAAAGAGCAAATCATTTAAGACTCAACCAAGAATTGTTTTCTTTTCTTAAAAATGGACCGAGTATGTCTGAATTGATTTTAATGTAAAAACAGAATTACAAATCTGATATTACCCTAGATTTGCAGTGTAAAACAAAGATGGTTTTAAGCAGAATTAAAAGAAATCAATCTGATCACATTATTATTTTTCTCTGAGACAGATTCTATGAACTCCTTTATGGAAGAAGCGGTACAGAAAATGAAGCATGACTATGACCCCATTTATCAAACAGGAAGTCGATATCTTAACGTAAACATGGGATCACGTGGGGCTATAAATGGACAGAAACCGAATTCCGCACAATCCCCCTGGATGAGTATGGGCATGGGGGCATTTGGAGCTAATTCTTTTGGTGGACCCATGATGGGTGAATTATCCGTTATCGAACAAAAGGGACAGTATCTCGAGCCCGACTTTAAAGGTAAATCAGATTAAATAAAAGATTTAAGGCTTTTTATTACTATTCGAAATAATAATTTCGGAAAGTAGCCTGTTTTGAAGCTTAGAATATTCCTGATAAAAGCATGTTTTTTTCAAAACTTTCGTCGATTGTAAGTATACCAGTTATCAACCACTAATTACTGACAGTCGATATTTCAATAGGACTCTTTCTCTTTTATCATGCATAACTATCAAAGCTCACAATTTACGATTATTTATATTGACATTTTAGAACAATTCTATGGTGGCATATTTCTGCCCCTTGTGTGCAAGTTATTTTTCTATCAAATATGTCGACATGCAAGATAAATATGTTGACATGCAAGATAGTTATGTCAACATGCAACATAACAAAGTTGACATGCAAGAAAATTAAAATCAAATAAAAATTATAAAAAAAAATCTTCAATAAATCTCAAATATCGCCCACATGTGACATCCAACATGCTAGATGCTACTTATTTATGTCAACAAGCATTTTATTTATGTTAACATGCTAAATAAATATGTTGATATGCAATTTATTTATGTCAACATGTAACTTGGTTATGCTGACATGCAAAATAAATATGTTGATATGCAACTTATTTAAGTCAACATGCAACTTATTTAAGTCAACATGCAACTTATTTATGTCGACATGCAACTTGGTTATGTTGACATGCGAGATAAATATGTTAACATGCAACATATTTATGTCGACATGCAACTTATTTATGTTTACAAGCATTTTTCAGATACAGTTCTGTTATGACCTTAACCTTAGAGCTTGAAACATAGTTCAAGGTCACTGCACACCCTTTAAAGGAGACCTCGGACGAACAGATAGACCGACGGACACATTAATTACTATAGGTCGCCCGCTGAGAGGGGCTCTAAAACGTTTTATAATCTACTGCCACGTTTCTGAATCGCCAGGACATTTTATCTAAGGAAATTCAATTATACTTTGTTGTCCACCTCATATTATAGAAAATAATTTAAACTGCAACATTTGCTTGAATAAATTTTCGATCGTAAAAATCAACTTCAATTTTACCGAAAAAAGAAAAAAAAAACAGAACCGTGCCTCATTGCACGTGTCTTGGGTAGTAACGTATCTGCACGCTCGCACAAATGTTCAAATTGTGTATCGCATAATTTCTTTTGCATTTAAATTTAATCATTTAATTCAAAATCCTATCATTTTGAAAATCAATCATATTTAAAAAAAAGTATATACATGTATCCAAATGAAATCACAAATCGGTCATATTCACTGTAAACTTTTTCGCCATTCCTTGGTCTTCAGACATTTACATCGATTTGTGATTTCATTTTTGGATATTTACTTTTTAAAAATTATATATATATATATATATATATATATATATATATATATATATATATATATATATATATATATATATATATATATATATATATATATATATATATATATATCCGCTACTCAACATAACTAAGTTGCATGTCAACATAACTAAGTTGCATGTTGACATAAACAAATTGCATGTTGACATAAATAAGTAGCATGTTAACATACCTAAGTTGCATGTTGACATAAATAACTTGCATGTCAACATATTTATTTCGCATGTCAACATAAATAACTTGCATGTCGACATAAATAAGTAGCATCTAGCACATTGGAAGTCACATGTGGGCAGTATTTGAGATTTTTAAAAGATTTTTTACAATTCTTATTGATTGCAATTTTCTTGCATGTCAACATAGTTATGTTGCATGTTGACATAACTATCTTGCATGTCAACATACTTATCTTGCATGTCGACATATTTGACAGAAAAATAACTTGCACACATGGGGCAGAAATATGCCACCATACAATTCTTTTTTTCATATTAAAATTGTTTCAAGAGTTTTACAGACCTGCTGGACTTGCTTTACCAGGAAGATGTCCGGAGTTGAACTACGCATGCCCAGGACGATGCTGGAAGACTGACGGTTTTAGTGGGTGTTTTCGTTGTGATTGCGAAGGTAGATGATTTCTTTTTCTTCAGATGATGCAATACACTACATTTCAGAGCAAGTTTGTTCTTTTTAGAATTAAAAAAAGAGTGTAAACACGGACATTCATCATATTTACAAAATTAATCCTAATGTTCTATGCAAAGAAACAAACGACTTATATGAAATATCTTTTTCCTACCTTGTTTCCTCTTTATTTGTTATAACTTCAATATTGCAGAGATGATGACAAATTTATGCGAGATATAACGTTGTCTTCCACCCCGCAAACCTTACCCATTCATCTCTTTGTTAGACATACACATGTATTGTGAGTAATATTAAGTAACGAAGACGTTTAAGATGCAAGAAAAATTAAGTTTAGAATATCTCTGAGTCAGAGTTAGATATAAGGAAAGTATAAGTTAAAGAATTTGACAGAAATTGTTAACAATGGCTTGTGTAAAACGCCCTATGGTTGAGATTTTAAGTAAAGACTCGCCATCTGATATTTTCTGAATGAAAGTCAAGGTAAAGTTTTGCTCTAGGAAGATTTTAGGTGGTTAGGTGGTGGTTAGCCGAAAGAACCATCAGGTGAGGTCATAAGTAAAGGTTAGAATTAAGCGCCCTCTGGTGGATAATATATAAGTGTGGGTAGAGATGAGCATCTCCTGGTTATAATTCTGAGTGACCATTTGTTTGACAGATAATAAATCAACAGCTAAGAGCACATCATCGTCCTTACGAATGTCAACAAGAGCGCCGCTTACCGAGAACAAATCCACAACTGCAGCGCCGTCTACCAAAACTGAAAGAACCACAACCCACGCCCCAGCAACACAAACAAGTAATCATGCAACTTCAACTGTTTCGTCCCATAAAACGTCATCAATTGTATCATCCTCAACAAAGCTAATCTCATCACAATTAAAAAATCTGAATAATATCAAAATAAACCAAGGCAAAACTTCAGAACTTGATGGAACAAATTCATCATTGACATCTGAAGGAAATCCTCAAATGGAAACTACAGGGGTTAAAGGACAAAAAGGGAATACATCCGGCAAAAGTAGCGGAAATGTACAACAAATAAATACGGTGTCGAATTCCAGTTCCACTATGTTAACCGAAACAAACCTTACCGGACGTGTCGGTCCCCCTAGTGCAAAAAGTTTAATGGATCTAACAGGAGTGGATTTATTTAAAATTTTAATTGATGGAATTAAGAAACATCAATCACTTCAGGAGGTGCTGTACACTTTGGCTCACGTTGGAGGTCAAGGTCATACAGCGCAAAATGCTGGAAATCTTGAGAAAATGGATAACACTGAAGCAATGAAACACGAATCCCAGAAAGGTGATAGAATCAATAACTCAGAAACATCACTCCAACAAACAAACAGTCTTTTAACACACCCAAGAACGAGTATTGTAAACATTACATCTGAAACAACTTCAGAGCCTCCAATAACCGAAGTGTCGGGTGGACCTCATAAAACTGACAACACAGAAGGAAAAGCTGACCAGAAAAGCAGAAAGGGTGAGCATATTTACTCAGAGAGTAAACAGATAAAGGGTTATCAATATTTACTACAAATGATATTGACATCTTTCTGTTTTCCATAGATAGGCTCTTGAAAGAGAAAAAGATCCTCCATGTTCTATTCTATTTTTCTATTTATTCTGATTATCCAATTTGCCATTTCAAAATATATGAAGATGTAAATGGAATTCAAATAAATTCTAAATAACATTTTAGGTAAAAAAAAATATTTTGTTGAAAATCAAGTCTTTTAAAACAAACTGATTATTTAGAGGAGTTATTTCTCGTAGCAGAGGGTAATTTGAAAATTAAAGTTCAGTTTTGTAAAACATTCGCAGCTCATGGCATAAGTAATATAATATTTTTGTTTTAAAAGATTGTGTAGACGTTGGAGCCATATGTCCAGTTGAGTGTCACGTGATCGATCCCGTTTCACACTGCCCTGTATGTGGCTGTTCAAACAAAACCTTGAAATCCAATGACCCGGATATAGGTATGCCAAGTGATGTGGCTAGTAATTACTTTATTGCAACAAAATTAAATATCATATTTAGTGGATAAAAATCATCAAATCTGCGCAAGTCAAATCTGATCATTATAACAGTCGTTAAGTCAGCGTTATGTGAATCTTAACAATTCAGGATGTGCGCCTCTAGATGTAAGCTGCCCTAGCGACTGTATTACTCTGGCTGATAACATGTGTCCTGTGTGCGCTTGCACTCACAGACAGACACACAAAGTAACATCAGATGCCGTCTTTAACACTGAACCAACACCAACAACTATTTCATCTCAAATGGGTACATATGTCCTCGTTCTTTTTATTTTCCCCCTTTTTTACAGAACATTTTTAATTCTAATATTTCCGATAGAGTTTACCCTTAATTCTATTTTTGTCGTGTTTTACAGTATGTAAAGTTACAGAGGAAATTCGAAATTGTGCAACTTCCTGTTTGAAGTTTGATGAACATTTTTGTCCAAAATGCACTTGTACTGCGAACAGCAAATCAGGAAAAGGGTCGGACAACCCACAAAATTCACCTGAAAATGATAATAGTATGTACATGTATTTCATTATGGTCCATTCATATTAGAAATACATGTGTATTCTTTAAGAGGTTGGACTCCTATAATTTCTTATTTTTCGTTTCTTTCATTTCTAATTTTACTTCTCCTTTCAGTTTGCCCAGCAGTAGAACGAGGCTGTCCGCAAAGATGTCTAAAATTTGACAAAAATTACTGCGCATACTGTTTCTGTGATAATGACTAGAATAAATGTGGAAAAAAAATATCAGACACATTGGTTTCTTTTGTTTCTTCTCTGATATGCTGTGTATTGTTTGTCTTTGTTCCATATCAACCTTGCTGCTATAGTGATTTCAAATTATAGGCATCTTATTCAAAGTTTAAAAACTGTAATGCCGCATCTTTATTAAGGAAAAATATACTTTTATTTGTCAAATACAATATACTCCAAGATATAGACAACTGCATTCATATATATTATACACACATACTTCTCTTTTGACACATGCTTCTGTCCTCCAATTACACACATTAACACCGAAATGTCGAAATTGTTTTGCAGGTAATTAATCAGACCTATATCGATCCCCCCCCCCCCGAAATACTTGGGAAAGGATGAATTAGTACACATAAACATGCATCTCGAAATTAAGTTTAAAAGACCTAACAACAACAACACCCCCCCCCCCCTCCCAGCTTAGAACGAAGGTCTACCATCATTCTAAAATCACGTAGTAAGAAGCTGATCCTTGTGTTCTAATTCAACTGCCGGAATTGAAGACCGACCCTTTGGATCAGAGTATAAACCGAGGTCCCTATCAAGAAGACATGATAAAGATCCCTCACTGCTCAATGGCCACACGTGTAGAGTTAAGGACGATTTTTTGCAGCCATAAGTGTTGTATCAAAATGAATGAAATATTTCAAAGGTACTAAAAATAAAACAAAGAGGTCACTTTTATCTGAGTAATGTCTTGCCTTTTTTACGTTTTTACTCCTGTTTATCGGACAGTCACCTTAATATGCTGGACAGCTGGTGTCCTTATCACTCCTGAGTATCTGTTTCAATATCACGCTCAAGATACCGCTGTGTACTACCAATAAATGGGATCTAGAGAAATCAGCACTTTATAGGCCCTGGAATTCTTCTACTCACCTTTTTGAAGTACCATACATAAAATACTTATAAAGGATTGCCACACAGGAAAAGTTGGCGATCACATTCACATTTATACAGAGCTCATTCGGTAAGACATGATTTTTGTTTTGTTTTCCCATAGCGACTGTTTTTTTATTTTTATTTCTGGTTTCTGTCAGTATGGAATTTTCTTCACTGAACATAAACAGTTAAAGTGACATTTTTGTCCACGCTTATAGTAAAATAAATGTGTCAAGAAGAAAAACTTCTATAATCGGAATTTGAAACTGTTTTTTGGGATGGAGTAGGAAACACTAAAGGTGAAATAAAAATAAACTACATAAATTAAGGTTCGAATTACAATAGCCTCAGTTGTATGTTCATTGCATTTACCTGTTAAATCTTTGCTATTTGAGTATGCATTACGAGAAATCTTGATTGCAGCAATATAATTTTAAAAAGAAAACAACAGGAAGAAAATCGTGTTGAATTGAATTTAAATTTTGTACTTTTAGATTATTCTGTTGATTTATACAATAAAAAATTATTTTCTCCAAAGCAACAACGGTCTGATATAACATTTTGAAGCCAATTAAAAAAAATACAACTATATACGCAATGTCGTACTCTTGATACCGAAATTATTAACCATCTTACATGATAAACGAACGTAACAAATTCCCCTGTCATAAAATATCCTTCGTATTATGTGTTATAACATTTGATTTGTAATCTTTTTTGTAGAATACATCTAAGAGAAAAGTACAATATATCGCAATTACAAAGTGTAAATTCTTAAATGGGGAGTTAGACGATGAAGGAATGTACTGCAAGGAATGAAAATGGCGCATTGAGGGGTCAAGGAAGACCACCGGAAATGAGGATTAATGTAAGAACAGTTTGCAGACAAAATATTATACTCTTTTACTCTTTCACAACTTTGAAAAATAAATAACTTTTCATAAAGAAAAAAACAAAGCAATTGTGATGATTTATTTTTATGCTACTTGTGCTCGTCCATTGTTAGTCATCATCTTATTTTTAACTTTATTTGATTCTTGTCAAGTGACCTCAAAGATTTTCAACTTGAAATACAGCATCCCTTTTTAAGGGTGGGGGATAACTTTTGTTCAAATGAGATGCCAACCCCTTTCTAAATGAATAAATATTATGTATGAGGATAACTATATTGTGTATTATTTATTTTTTCTTCTTACATGATTGAATAATAGAAAAAAAAAAACCACTACGTCATATTCACCTGCTCTTGTCCTTTCAGGTGAATATACAAGAATTAATTTTCTCTATATGGAACTAAAATAGATTTAGAACTTCTAAATTGATAAAATTAGTAATGAAAACTTATTTCACCTAAATCCGACTTCCAAGCAGATGAGAATGACTTTCAGGGACGTAGTATTGGAGAGGGGGAATGCAGGGGCTGGGTGAATATTTTACTCATATTCGTATGAATATGGCTAAATCATTGTATTGACTTCCAAAGTAGCAACACTTAATTGTATAATGTGCAATGCTGCTTTCAGAATGCAATCAATGCTCATTATAGTCAAAGGAAAAATGCTGATGTGTTCCAGATTGTTTTCAATATTCAACATCATTTATCCTATAGTCCGAAATATTTGACACTCCTTCTCCCTTTTACGAACTGGGTATTAGAAGCGCTGGGAAAACTGCCGAACATTTAATATAACGAAAATTTCTAAATTGCCCCCCCCCCCTGCATTCTGTATGCTTCAAGGACTCACAAATAACATGTTTTGGTTTATTTAGTACTTATCAGTTACGCAAAAACTGAAATACTAAGCTTGAAATATTTTTTAAGTCCAAACTACGAGAGGCTATGAGAAAGTTCGTGGACTGATGCGATAAAATTAATGCCATGTAGTCGGTGCTTACAAAATAATAAGGAACATAAAAAAGTTTGAGGATAATTGAAAATATTAGCTTCATTTGATACTTTGATAATTTGCCAAATTATCATTAATTACAAAAGACATCAAAACGTTATCGCCTCTGAGTTTCTTGACGCCCGAAAACGTTATTGCTTCTCAATGTACGTTCCTCTGCCTCATTACATTTTTCTTGATGACAATCCCTAGAGTTAAGCAAAGAATGTAACCCGTCTTGTTTATATGACTTTACAATGTCATGAACAGCTGATTTCTATGGATAATATTGTAAATTGATCTATACTTTGTAAAGAATCATCAATTACGCAGGTAGGTTAAGGCTTCCCGAAGAAATATCACAGTGCACTCTGTGCCTTCACATCTCTGAACTACAAAAATATGACGTCATAATGGAAAATGACGTCAAGTCACTGCAAACTTGAGGTGTTATGACGGGGAGAGTATCATGAACTTTTCACTTTATTTCAAACTACATGTAAAATGTTCGATAGCTATTGCAAAATTCACGGGTCGTTAAAGGTTTTTTTAAGTCTTATATGTCCGATTATTCTAATTATAGAGGGCGGAGCCCTCTCACGGGCCCGAAGGGCCCGTGAGAGCGGAGCTCTCCCTATAGGTAAAACGTATGTATGTAAAATATATCGAATTCTATTGTAAACTATAATTTTATTACAATACGTATGGAACTGAGAACCTTGTCGCCAATATGGCGCCCATAGTCTTTTCCATCTTGAATCTCGCGACAAATTCACGCACAAACGAGATGCTGGAGAATCGTAATTTTAATTTCAATCCTGCGTTAATGAAATTTTATCAATTCTTATAATCAAAATCACCCTTATAGTACACATCCTTGTTACTTTCGTTTTCAACTAACTTGCACTCAATCGTCATAGACCTGACATGTGACGTCATTCATTGACTGCAGCGGAAACTGTTGAATTTTTAACATTAATAAACTTTACTATATTTTGGTGAAACAAAAACTCAGTTTAACGAATTCCGGTGACGTCACTGTCTAGACTGCGTACTACGCACTATGGAGGGGCGGATCTTTCTGTGGTCCCTTTCACCAGACTTTAGGGGAAAGAAACAACTCTAATTTATTTGTTAATAAATGTCTTCAGGATTATTTTCAATACACAAACTAGAAATATAAGATTTTTTTTTTGTGACATACATAAGTATAATACTACATTTTAAAAAAATGTTTTAGTGGTAAAATAATGCATGAAAAGCTTTACTGAATTCTGGTATGAACTCAAGAAGAGGGGGAAGGGTTTGCATTTTATTTTTTTTTTCAATTTTATTTTTATTTATTTATTTTTATTATTTATTATTCAATTAATTAATTTATTTATTTATTCATTCATTCTTGTCTTTGTTAGTTCCTATATACATTTGTAGGTGGAGCCTGTGTCTCATTTTTGTTGTGATTTTTTTTCTCAAAAGATTTATCATTTTTTAAGTGTCAAATTTCAGATTCGTGAAGCTCGCAATCAAAAGAGAAATCTTTGGACATGTCTGAAGCTCAAACTACCACATCAAACACGTTCCATCTATACATGTGGATACGCTTCAACGGATTAAATAAAATTTCTAATTTTTATTTTAAAAAGTACTTTAAAAAATATAGAACAGAAAATTTATTCAGCCAGTTGGAACCTATGGTGGATTATGATAGTGTATTAAGTCCAAAATCATATGAGAAAAACTAAGTTCAACAATACACGAGGGAGTGCAAAACATATGACATGTATATTAATAAAGTTTAATGTTCTCTTGGCTTAAACAACAGAATCTTCATTTGACATTACCCATGGTAATCCATGTAGAGAGTTCAATGTTGTTAAGTAGTACTAAAAAATCTTTTTCTAAAGCTACCACATATGATCCTTTTTATTAATTATGTGGTGGATAGGGATGTCACAAAACATCAATTACTGATGCAGAGAGGGGGGGGGGGGGGGTTCGGTACATCGCTAAATATTCTATTTGATACTTCCCAGAAATGTACCCTATTATTCACAAGTTTTCGTTTTAAAATTCTAATAGTTTTCGCATTAACAATTTAATATCTGGAAAAAAACTTTTATTGAGTTAAATTCGTTTTTCCAAATATTAAAAAGAAAAGATTTTTATGTTGCTTTTATGTTAGTTTTGTGAAAGCACTAAAGACTATTCGAATCAGATTGGTTTTTGAAAAATGCAGAAACATTAAATTTACTCTACATTTTTTCCATTAAAATTAAGAAAATAATTCGTAGAAATTTTGCGATGCTGATACTTTAGCCCTCACGATACACAGCCCTAGAGTTGGTCAGATGATCAGTTTCCAAGTGTCCTGATAACCCAGGAGTTAGATCATCTTTCTGTAGTTTGGGTCCCAAGTTCGACTTCCGATGTAGTCCCTGACAATTGTCCTTATTTGTATTTGATGTCATGACCATGCATTGGAAGTAAAAGATGAGAATTAAATGACATGATGTTTATGGATTGGGGTTTTTAAATTAAGTCGTGAAAGATAAAGAAATGATGCTCATGCAAGTTCATGTAATAATTGTTGGACAGACACATAGATGAAAGAGTTAACTTTTAAGAGTTCTTGGGCCTTGGTAGGTTGAATCCTTGACTGGTCCAGTGCATGCTCTTTCTCCATTATGCTATTTGATTTTGAGTGCTCTGGCTAGGCATGATGAAATATCTTAGTAAAAGTTTTCCAGACTTATAAAACCAAAAACCCTTGGATTTCTTTATTTGAAATGAAAAATATTTGAGGAAAGAGAACTTATAGTTTTTTTTTAAAAAGGACTGAGGTCTTTGTTATGATTTTCTCACACTAATTACAACTTGATTTTAAAATGATTTATCATTAAACAATAAAATGTAGAAAGTTCACTTGATGGCTCCGCCCTCACCAACGGTCGCACCGTCTAACATATTACACCACTTCACATTCACTTCGATTTTTCGACTTTTTTATTATAATCCTATGAAGCAGAATTTATTCAAAAAAACTTATACATGAGAAGAAGAAGAAACTTGCTGTGGCCCTTAACTCGACATTTACATATATCGACGACGTAATATCAATTAACAATAATTAATTCCATTCGTATGTCGACTCAATATATCCCAGTGAATTCGAAATAAAAGATACCACAAAGTCTGACACATTGAATACAAAAATAAGTCTAATAGCGGGGCGCAATTAGTACCCACGGAAATTCCGACAGATTGTCGCAAGACCTGATCTCCAAAGCTACATACTATAGTAAATCAAAAAGTCAAGCATCTTTTCAATATCAACTTCAGAGTGCTTGCGTGTACAATCAGAATGTCTTTTAGCAAAATAATTTTGCAAATGATCAGTGACAAGGTAAGTAAATTTACGAGTTCCATTTTTATTGACAAAGTAGGTTCCTATCATGTCAAAGAGCTTGGATTTTATTTTATCGTGTTGAATTGGTTGCATAAAGTGCTGAAAAGTCGTGCGTTTTGATGATATTGATTTTAGTAAAATTTTTGATTTTAAATTTTCTAAAAGTCACTTGGAGTTTTTAAGTAAACAAGATGACTTCAGCTTTTTCGTCAACTTTTCTTATTTATTTAGTAATATCCCGGTTTTACCTAGCTGCATACGGTATTTCAATCTCCCAACTTATTCGATACTCAAGAGCATGCTCCGAGTACGATCAATTCTAAAACGTGGCAGGCTACGGAATGTTCCGTCTGCCTGATCAATACATAGGGCTCACGGCGGGTGTGACTATTTAACAGGGAATGCTAACTCCTCCAAAGCACCTGATCCCATCTCTGAAATTTCCAGTGCTCCATGTTTTATGCCCTCTTCACAGATTTGTATTGTTTGGATATCTTTTGGAGATCGATCACTGTTCGTTATCTTCACCTTTTTCATTTAGCTGATGATTTCTACAGAACTCCTTTGCATTAATAGGTAGATGATTGAGCAACTGTTCATTTCCTTTTTAACGAGGCAAATTTTGTCAGTACATCTAATTGGAATCGTCTCTCGTGTTGTAGTTTTACAGTAGGTTTGAATTGGACAATCGAATTTTAAAATTCGCATCAATTCAATAATCAGAAATGCTTTTTTTCCTCTACAACTTTAATTGGTCCTTTCCATTGCATCAAGAGTTTATCACCAGCCGTGAATAATCTGTTCTTTGTCTTTCTGTCCTAGTTGCTCTTGTATCTTGATTTCTGAAGTTATTTTTTCAAAAGTTCACATGCGCTTGATGTCAATCCTTCGGATTCAAGCAGCACTATACATTCATTGACTGGGTTCGAGGGCAAGATGCGTTTTGTCGGACACGGCCTCGGGCAAACAGTTTGGTTCGAGGGGTCGGCAGAGAACACAGTCAATAAATGTTTTGTTATACCTTTTATGTACTTTTTTATTTATTTTTTTTTTGACATACATGTATGTCGAACCAAGGAATGCAAATGAGATTTAGCTGACCCCGCCCATTATATGACGTAAGCTGCCCAACATCTCATCGACAGGTCCAATATCTCACTCCGCGGTCAAACATCGATTTTTTTATGCCCGCTCCGTAAAACATTGGAAATGTTAGACTTATATTAGTATTGATTTATATAGGAACACATTTTTAAAGGTATAACAATGGTAAGTGCTTTTTGACAGTTGCACGTTTTGGTCCATAGCTCTTTTAATAAAGTCGCTGGATCCGAATCTGTTCTATACCAAACAAAATCCTTGTTGTGAAAATGTAACATGATTTTTTTTTGTCGAATAGTCTCATTTTACATGACGAGCTTAATCTCATTTAACACTAAGTTTAACCATCTGTGTCCTTTTCCTCTGAAGCATAAGTATTCCTAAAAGGAAAGTCAGGAAATTCAAAACATTTGTTTATAATTAATGTCATTTTGAAAAATTTAACATTTACGCCTTAAGTTTGACGCAGCGCCAGGCACGAGAATTGAATCAGTGATCTCCCAATCACGAAGTTACCTACCCCGACCGGTCTTTGATACTCTGAAGCTCTATTACGGAGCATTACTCTAGAACTTTTACATGTATTTAGAATTTGAGCTTTAATATCTCTAAAATTCTAAATCAATTACGGCGATTTTTGAAATAATACTTGAATATGCAAATAATCATATAAAATATGTGATCAAAATTAATAGAAATTATAAAATCAAGAAAATCAAGAAAATTTCATTTGGAAAATACAACAATTTGAATTTCATAGTGAAAATACCCTGATTTTAAACTATGGAGAGATATTTTAGTTGCTATAGCTAAAACTTTGATACTTTGATTTACTATATCTACTATAATAGATACTTTGATTAACTATCGTAAACTTTCTTTGAATGTATTACTCTAAAGTTTATTAGCGTATTTTTGTAATGGTTACTTTTTAGTATGAAGGCACTTATCTCTAAGAACCACGGGTATAGTCATAAAATTCAAAGAAAGAACAAAAATATGAAAATGAAATTTCCAACAACTATACACATAAGTTTTAAGGCTACTGGCCAGAGATTGACACTTGAGCCAAAATGATTTTATAGCTCAAAATATACGAAGAGCTTACATAATCAAAGACATATCTCGTATTTCAAGTTAAAATGTACTTCCTTAAGTCTAGGCAAGCCTGAGTAATTAAATCTCAAACGAAAGTTTCATAAACAAGTAGGGCACTTGAATGTGAGTTGTAAAAAATCTATTAAATATATTTTTTTTTTCTTCCAAATTCTCTTTGCAGAATTTATTTTACTTACATTTTGGCCAGTCCACCGAGTGACCACTGAGTGCTGTATATCATACTAGACAGCTGGTGTGTTTATCAACAGGCAGTATCAGTAGGTAGGGGGCATCGCGTACCAGATACCGCCATTTTACTGCCATAAGACCTGACCCTTGTGGATGAGAATCATCACTTGATAGATATCGCCAGCCCTCTACCATGTCCCTCAGGAGTCTTCCATTGGTAACTCTAGTGGTTACTTTATTCCTTATACAGGCCACGGAAGGTAAGACAAGGGTTGTTCTATTATCCCTGGGTTGCTGATCTATTTGACACTTTGTTAAGGAGGCTGGGGGGTCAACAAATTAACCATCAGATAAAACTTAATTTTTTAGATATGATATTATAAGCTGTCAACTATCATTTGGCAAACAAAAATTTCATACATTTTAGTTTTAAAATTTGATCATTTTTGTATATTTTTATATGGAGCTCTTCTTCTAAAGGAGATCAATATAGTCTGAAAATGGCCACAATCAACCAGCGAAGATGCAACTATTTTAATGATAAATTGCTTTTTTAACTCAAACTTTCGAATTCAGTACAGTAAGAAAGAATTATATAGCATAAAGAAAAAGCATTAAAATCCTTTGTCCTGCGTTTTAGTTTTTGGTGAGTAGGGGTAGGGAGTGGGGGGAGGGAAGATTGGGCTGCGGAGACACTTTTGGGGAGGTTATGACAATATTAGAAATTTAATTACGTCCAATGGTATATCTTACAATCTATTAAATTTTCTTGTCCATTATCGTCATTTTCAACAAGGTGTTAAGACGATTTGAGTAAATTTTAGCATTTTAATCATAAATAACGTCCATGGGCCATAAAGCTCACCAGTATTATTTTCCTTCCTGTGTTTTTAGCTATTTGTGTGTATGTTTTTGTTGATGATATCGCAGTTCCTGAAATTTTAAACTGATGACCAGGGATATTGTACGAGAAGAGGGCGACATTTTGTGTATCAAAAACAAACATTATGTATATTTTTAGTTGTTTCTTCAAAAATGTCAAATAAAATCCTATGGATCGGTTAGAATGTGACTTTTTTGTACCATTTGTTTTTCAACCTTTCAATTAATTTCAACAAATTTCTTATCAGAAAAGATTAAAAAGGGGCACCTGATTCCTCTGATTCCCTTTGAGGTCCGTGTACGTCCTTCCGATTTGTATAGTTTCAAGGGAGCTTGGAGCTTCTATTCGTTGTCATCATTACCAATCAAAGAAAAAAACATTACAATAGAGATTATTTGACACAGATTGCTAGTTATACGCTGTCAAATAACTTACATTGCTCTCCGTTTCTACTGAGTGGTGTTTTTTGAAAATCAAATGAATGAAGATAATTTTAGGAACAATCTTTTATTAAACAAAAGCCCAAAAGTATAATGAAATATTAGCAAATAATACCTATCACCTGGGTCGTATTTTGGCTGACATGTTTCATACTAATTGTAAGGCCTTTGTTTTTATACCTAACTTTATTAAGGAATGGTTGGTCTACATGATCAATATTAGGGCTCACGACCGTTATAACCAGTCAACAGGGGATGTTTACTCCTTCTAGGCAGTCTGTACCGTTCTTGGCTTACAAAGTCATTTTCCGTATTGCAAGTTATATCCCAACTAGGTTTTCTTGACATCGGGTTGTACCTTTGTCTGTTTCGTAAACTTCATGTTGTATTTTAAAGCGCACGTAGTTAATTTTTTTAACTAAAGGTCATATTTAGTATACATAGCTTGTGTCAATGAATTATTTTGATATAGATATAAATCACTCTAGTTAAGTAAGTATACATGTCTTTTCTTTTTTTATTTTAAATTTAAATGGTCTGCACTTTTTATTTCTGAATGTATCCTAAGTTTGCTTAATCTAATTTCTTTTCTTAACTTACATAATCTGTTTTTTTTTTACTCGATGCTATATCGTTTTTTGATAAGTCTGTTTTTCTGAATGAGCTTTATATGTTTTTTTATAATTACTTACGATTATATAAGTGTGTGTGTGTGTTTTCTTACGCTTTGTTGTAGAGATGACAAAATTTATAACATAGATACTGATCTTTCATTTCAAATTTCAATTTAACTTTCTTAAGGTTTCATTTGTATATCCTATTTATTTTGTCTCTTTTCTCGATTCCGCATTATATATATGACTCCCTTTATCTCATCTATACGTTTCATATCAAACAAATTACATTCAAAGTTTACCTTGTTTGTTTCTTTGACCCCAGAATAGTTTTCAAGTTAATGTTGCCTATTTACTGGATTCCATGTTAAATCGTAAGTAGGCACCCTTTTTTCTGGACTCAAGCTTTTACTTCATTTAGACGTTGTTATTGTTTATATTATAGATTTCTTTGATTCATCAGTGTTAACGTTAACTGTTTTATACTCTGGAGTATGCTCTGAGTACAATCAATTTTAAGACAGAGACACGCTACTGAAAGATAAGTTGATGTTACAGGGATGTCAACAACTACGTTTTAGGTCAACATTACGTTAATTCCATGGTCGTTATAATGACATTGTAAGCAAATATAACCTATTAATGGGTCGTACTTACATATTTCATATCAATTGTTAGACCTTCGTTTTTAAACTGAATTTGACTACTTTGAATGTTTCGTCTACCTGATCAATAAAAAAGACTTACGTGGACGTTACAGGTCAACAGGGGATGCTTACTCCTCCTTGGCACCTAATCTAGTGCTTGAATTTCCAGGGGTCCATATTTTATGCCCTATTTACAGATTTGTATTGTTAATAGATTTTATTTCAGATCGATCTCTGTTCGTTATCTTTACCTTTTGCTTATTAAAGGTTCCTTTGATTGCAGGTTTTACTTTGTCTAGACAAGGCGGATGTGCTCCTGTCAGTGTGAACTGCCCTAACGTCAAATACGACTTCTCCTCGGGATGTTTTGTTTGTACCGGTAAGAACAAGTTCTGATGATTGTTAAATACGACTTCTCCTCGGGATGCTTTGTTTGTACCGGTAAGACTGATTGCTTGTATGCTGTTTTACCTGCCATTATCATTTTTTTTCGCTCGTGTAGAAATGTAAAAAAAATAGTTTTGCAAAACTGTCATTATTTTAAACCTCTGTAAAATGAAAATATTCCTAAAAAGAAAACGGAGTACGTTAGAGAAGCTTTTTACTTCCCATCTTTATACTACCTCTTTTATTATAAAATTTTAAAGATTATTCAAACAGTAAATACAAATTATTTAAAAAGAAAGAAAGAAAAGAGACATTGTTATAACAATGTTTATATCGTGTTGGCATTATGGACACTACCCTGACAAAAACTGAATTTCGAAGGTTTATATCTTATAATCAATTCTTCTCATGGAATTCTATCATGAGCTTGAATTTATATATTGAACTATTTTACGGTTATTAATGCATTACATTTCACTATAAACAAAGTTTATTTATTTATTTATTTTACAATAAACATTCTAATCCTAAAGGTGGCGAAACCAATCAACAACAGCCTTCTGCAGCACCTGTCCCGCAGTATCTCAACCCAGTTAAGGAAAGTAAGATCTCACAATAACTCATGTAAAAAATAAATAAAGCATCTCACATAATAATGTATCTACAAAAGTAAAATAACACAGCTCCTCACATAAAATTGTATCTAACTCCGTAAAGTAGGACAATATCTCAGGTAAATCTACACAAGTAAAGTGAATCTCACATTAATATGTATCTCACATAGTAAGTTCTTACAAGATCTCAAGTAAAAGTAAAGTGGCACCGTATCTCACAAAATTATGTAATAAATTTACTAAAATAAGACATCTGAGATAATAATTCATATAACCCAGTAAATCGAGATCTACACAACCTCTCGCAAAAATCAAATAAAATGGAGGGAAAATTTAAAACATCATGTCATTGTGTTACATTATATTTTTTAAATGTATATGCAATTCTAGGGGATATAGACAACAGAATAGGATAATTCATCTTTAAAAAATGTATGCATGCAAGGGCAATACATGGCAATTTACTTGAGTGTTAAAATAACAAATCATGAAATCAAGTCCCCTACATATTTATCATCATTGAATTGCCTTACTCACAATTTGTTGTAGTTTGTTAATTTCTTAAATCATTATGTTATTTTTTTTTAATTTGCATGTCTTTTATAAGAATATTTTTTAACATTATGATAGTCTTGAAAAAAAATAGTTACAATTTATTTTTTAAAAAAAATACCCAGATTGCAAGGACAAAGGCCTTATGCTTCAACTCATGCTGAAGATTGATAACGATGGATGTTCTAACTGTGGATGTCCTAACTGTGGACACAGAGAACCAATGCCTATCAACAACGGATGGAATCCCATGGCTCATACAAATACATCCCCATCTTCTACAACGACCACTCCCCCAGCAACGACAAAGACGAACCCTCCTGAAACTACGACAGAGAATATTCCATGCCCCTGCAAAGACCCAGCTCATCATACAACAAGTTCTCATTCTACCACCAGTACAACTGCTTCGACTCCAGAAACCACTCCTATACCAACTACTACCACCTCTCAAACAACAACTACAGAGAAAACTACTTCAAAGACGCATCCTACTACAACATTGTCTTCCTCTACAATAACTACTCCTACTTCAACGATTTCAACGATTACTACTACAACGTCCAAAGCAACTTCAATGAAGCTAACTTCTACTTCGAAAAAGCCAACTTCTACTGTAAAAACTGTACCAACTAAAAGACTACATCGATCTTCAACGACGACAACCACCTCAACAAAGCCTACAACCTCTACAACCACTTCAACAAAGCCTATAACCTCTACAACCACCTCAACAAAGCCTACAACCTCTACAAAAACTCTACCTACTCACACTGCAGCAACTTCTCCAATTAAAAAGAGTACAACATCTAAAATACCTGTTTCATCCACCGCAGCTTCTACCTCAACTAAAAACTCAGCAACCTCGGCTTCTTCACAAGAGAGCAGCTCCTCTCATAACCACTCGAACAACAGCAATTCCAAACATGACAACGTCTCAAACAACAATTTAAATCAGAGTAACAACTTTACCAATAGCTCTTCTCATAGCAACACCTTCTCAAGCAGCAGTTCTTCTAGCAGTAGCTCTTCTAGCAGCAGTTCCTCTTCTAGCAGTAGCTTCTCTAGCAGCAGTTTTTCAAGCAACAGCGGCACCCAAAATAAGAACCAAACGCACGGCGGCCACCATCACAATAACCACCATCACAATAGCAAGCATCCAAACAATGGCACAAATTCTCACAGCAACACTTTCTCTAACAGTAGCTCATCCCAAAGCAGCTCGTCCAGCAGCAGCAGCAGCTTCTCGCAAAATAGCAACAATTCTAACAGCAGCCATCCTCTCAGCAACCACAATTCTCAAAACAACACTTCACACAGCAATCATCCTAACAACTTCTCTAACAGCAGTTCTTCCCAAAGCAACCATTACTCCCAAACAAACAGTTATTCATCAAATAACGGTTTTTCCCAGAATAACTTCTCAAACAGTAGCTCATCCCACAACAACCACGCCCAAAATAGCAGTTCCAACACAAACAATAGCAACTCGAATAACAGCTCCTCTAAAAATAACAACTTCTCCGGACACAATAATTCTTCAAATGGCACGAACACTTCCAACAAAAACTCATCAAGCACCATGAACACTTCTAAAAACTCCTCGAACAACACTAACACCTCCAGCAATAACTCCTCAAATAATATGAACACTTCCAAAAATAATTCTTCAAACAACATGAATAGCTCCAAGAACAACAACAACGCCAACACCATAAACAATTCTAACAATAACTCTTCTAACACCATGAGCACCTCAAGCAAAACCTCCTCAAGTAACATTAACAATTCCAAAAATAACTCAAGTAATACCAACACTTCCAGCAAGAATTCTTCAAATAACATGAACAATTCCAAGAATAATTCATCAAATAATATGAATACTACAAAGAATAACTCTTCTAACACCACAAGCACTTCCAGCAACAGTAACCAATCCAGCAGTTCTAACAACTCCAACATTAGTCAATCCCAAAAGAACAACTCTTCTAACAACAGTTTCCTAAAAACAACTACCCTTAAAACAACGACTACTACGTCGACAACGACTACTCCAACTACAACGACAACTCCCACAACAACAACTCCAACTACAACGACTACTCCTTCAACAACAACTCCAACTCCAACGACTACACCAACGACAACGACTACTCCCACGACAACAACTACTCCCACAACAACAACTACTCCCACAACAACAACTCCAACTACAACGACTACTCCCTCAACAACAACTACACCGACTACAACGACTACTCCCTCAACAACAACAACTCCCTCAACAACAACTACACCGACTACAACGACTACTCCCACGACAACAACAACTCCAACAACAACCACTACTCCCTCTACAACTACAACACCAACGACTACACTTAAGATAACTATGCCACCAGCATTAACAACTACACAGAAAATAACTGTACCACCCTCCCTGAAAACAACAACACTCGAGTCAACAACAACAACAATGCCAACAACCACAGGTAGGTCTAGACAGATAAAATTCTATATGATAAAAACCAAACAGTAAAAAGAACAATCGCAACAGTAAGATTATACTAGGTAGCAATATTAGGAAAGTAAGCGCTTTGAACATCGAAATCCATGTACAAAAAAACAAAACCCACGAAAATCTTCCATACCAAAATATATGTAATTTGTCTAGTGAAAACACACACACAAAATACAGCACAAAATCACTAAGGAACAAAACACGACGTATACAGTATCAACGCAAAAAGAAAAAAAAACACTGTCCCAAATCACTGGCTAAGAATAAACAACATGTATAATCCTAAACAAAACTAATACATCACCAAATCACTTGGAAACAGTACACAACTGTTTACAACAAAAATTAATGCAGCACCAAATCAAAGAGGAATAAAACACAACGTATACAGTATCAACGCAACAAAAATAATTGTCACAAAATCACAACTATTTTCACAACTGCAACATCATACAGCAACATTACAAAGCAACACATTGATCAATCACAATCACAAAACACAGCACAACACTTAAGGTAAACGGTAGAATCAATAAAAAACTGCTGGTAAATAATTGCTGTATTACAACACGTCACTACAAGTTACTAACTACAGCAGCAAAACACAACAAACTGTAACACTAGAGATATATAATAACTGTAAAATACAACAAACTGTAACAATAGAGATAAATAATAACTGTAAAATACAACAAACTGTAACAATAGAGATAAATAATAACTATAAACTACAACAAACTGTAACAATAGAGATATATAATAACTGTAAAACATAACAAACTGTAACAATAGAGATATATAATCACTATGAAATACAACAAACTGTAACAATAGAGATATATAATAACTATAAAATACAACAAACTGTAACAATAGAGATATATAATAACTGTAAAATACAACAAACTGTAACAATAGAGATATATAATAACTGTAAAATACAACAAACTGTAACAATAGAGATATATAATAACTGTAAAACATAACAAACTGTAACAATAGAGATATATAATCACTATAAAATACAACAAACTGTAACAATAGAGATATATAATAACTGTAAAATACAACAAACTGTAACAATAGAGATATATAATAACTGTAAAACATAACAAACTGTAACAATAGAGATATATAATAACTATTAAATACAACACATATTGTAAATAATCACACCAACCAAACATGTCATCATATGTTTACGTAATATTTCTTTCATGGAATTACCTCTCAGAAAGATTTCATCAGGATCATCTCACTGTATACTGTATTGCTATTATTTTTCTTTCTAGGTTGCCCGCCTTTCCCAAGCAACTGTCCGGTAGCGTGTGGAAGCTTTGACATGATGACTTTTTGTCCTATCTGTGACTACAGCCTGTGTGGTAGTAAGTAAATTTTAAAGTCCTTACATTTTGTCTTATCTGGGCTCACACTGATAGACATACAGAGGGAGAAACTTTTAATCCCTTCCGGTTTGGCCGTTAGATGGCAAACAATCAGTGCAGTGTAATTCTTTGATTCAGTAACGCTTCTTCCTACTTTAAAAGTTGAAGACAGTATCGGTTGTCCTAAACTCTTGGTTGTTTGTTTTCAGTGACACCGCCTCCTTCCGGTTGAGCAGCCATGTCCCGTGCTACATCCAACCATAAGGATTACAATGATACACTTATGGCTGTGACCAGTTTGATTGTACTAAGAAATAAATATTTGAAGAAAGATTCTGTTGAAATTTTTTAGGTACAAAAACATATATCCTAATACAAATGAATACGTAAGGATTGAATATAATTTGAAAAAAAAAACATTCTGAGCGTATAACTTAAGAACCAAGAGTCCGTTTCAGGTATATGTAGTTAAAGTTAAGCTCTCTAGTTCAAGAGGTCATAATTTCATCGAAAATCAAAGAAACGGAATGCTATGCAAAATCAATCCGAAACCTTTCAAATTAATCCAGTTCAATACCTGCATTGATATTGAATTATATTCCGGAAAATTAAGTGGTACAGACTGACTGACAGGGGTACAAACAGAAAGACGAAGAAAGAGGAATCTAAAGTGACCTACTGTTTAATCGGCGTGGGAGTTATAAAAGCTATCAATTTACGTATACAACCTTCCAACACGATACCAACACCGCAAAACAATACAGTTACAATAATTTCTTTATCAACGGTACTACCACCACAAGCCTACACAGGTACCATCAGCTCCTTGTTCACGGTACTAACACCACAAATTTATACATGTGTCATCAGCTCCTTATCCAGGGTAATACCATCGCAAACCTACACAGGTACCAACACTTCCTTATCGTTTGTACCACCACCGCAAACTTTACATGTACAATCATCTCCTTTTCCACGGTACTACCACCGAAAACCTACACATGTACAAACAGCTTTTAATTGCTTCATACTATCAGCCAAATTCTACAACGTGTAATTTTCTAATGGTCACTTCAGAACCCCCCCCCCCCCCCGCCAAAAAAAAGAAAATAGGATCGTCCCGTCACTAGTTATAAGACTCAGAACAATAAGCCAGAAAGTCGGTTAAACAATTGATTATTTAAGAGCTTATAGTATAAAATCGTCTTTTGCAATGTGTAGTGCTAATACATATTCGTAATCAGTTCGTTATCTCCATATTTAACTATGATTTATGATCAAGAAAATATTTTCTCGGATTATAGTTAGACTAATCCACTGCTATACACTGACGTCATACATTGCATCTATTTTCATATTTTACCGGTTATTTTTTTCTTTATGCCTGCTTAGTTTCAGTTCCATTAGGTTTTGATTTAAAGAGACACACATTTGGTATCTGATAGGATTAGAAATATAGCATAGTCAGTCGCATGTGTACTATCTTTAAAATTGACCCTGTTTTACTATGGATCCTAAGATAAGAAATCGTTGAAAATGTTTATGTTTCGAATTACTTCCATTATAGCATTGATTGTTTCCTATACAGTCGGGATAAGGGCGTCAATTTATTCATCTGAGGAGGAAAGTAATCGAGGAGAACGGATTTTGTTAAATGACCCGTCACTGTTTGACCAGCGACTTCAACAGATAGACAACAAAATCCAAAGTATGACGTCAGAAATTCAGAGCATGACGTCAGAACTCCATCAGACCACGCAAAACATTCAAGATGTAACTATCAAACTTCAACAAGCAGAGGCGTCCATTAGTAAACTGATGCATTCCAGTGCAGGTGAGTACATTTATAGACTATTGATATTTAGGCAAAGAATTTTGACGCATAACATTTTGCTTTGTAAAGATTCTAAGACTACTGATACAGAAACGTTGTATTTAATGCATCTTATTTAAAAGATGTTACGACTTCTGATACATAGGCAAACAAATGAACATATAAAGAAAACGGAAGACTTTGAACATGTGTATTTATTAAGATCATTTTACAGCGTTATTAGACAGATCATATGTAAAAATAAACACATTCAAGTTATAACGTCGATGTTTCCAATATAAATGTATAAAATATCTCAAGATTTTGTATTAAGAACTTGATTGATAAAGGTGCACTTTTGTTGCAGGAAACAATTTTAAATAAATTACATTCATAGTCAATTTTGTTATTAATTATTTTATCTATGTTATTGATTGGATAAGATTGAAATTGTAAATCTTGGGAGAATTGATGAAAGTTTTGTCCCTTAACTATGAGTATTCAAAATATTTATAGTCCTCTACCGACCAACAGGTTAAAAATGTCCCTTTTAAAAACTTTTCAGCATTCCGGAAAATAGATTTGGAAAATTCAACATTGATGATGAAATTTTCTTGAAAAAAAAATTAATTCAAACAAATCAAACTTTTTTATCCTAAAGTGGGAGAGGGCAAACTATCATTAATTTGAAAATGACTTTTATGTCCCTCACTTGATTCGATACGCAAGAGCATGCTCTACGTACGAACAATTTCTAAAACGAGGCAAGCTATTGACAAACAAGTTGATGAAACAAGGACATCAACAGCCTCGTTTGAAGTCATCATTTCGCAAGTTTTAAGGTGGATACAATGACCTTGTCAGAACATACAAGTTATCATTGATTCAAATGCCGACTGACGTTTTTCAAACAAATCATCAGGCCATTATTTATACACTAAGTTGTCTACGGATTTTTCCGATTTGTTTTCCGATCATGACCAAAAATGCAGGGCGGGTGTGACCGGTAGGCAGGGGATGCTCCCTCCTCCATTGCACTTGATCCCACCTCTAAATTTTGAGGTCTATGTTTGCTCTGCTTTAAATTTATATTGTTTCGTTGGACTTTCGAGATTGAATACTGTTCATTATCTTCATATTTCATTTCATGAATTATTTTTTACTTTCAAATTATTGGAGAAACACTCGACATATTGCCTTGTAATCATTAACTTTATGTGGATACATGGTTACAGTAACGTTTTTATCTCTCAACATTTACATGATAAAAGTAATTTTAAGAGAGGTTAAGGTGACTCCAGTGATCGTTGTAGCTTTTGAGGATTTTTTGAACTGCCACCACAATGACTTGTGTAGATGTGGTGATTTTTATTACATCTGTCAAATATGATATTTGATAGGAAATAGCTTGTACTTGTCTCTTTTCAGGAAAATCTACTTATGTGAGGTGGGGAAAACATGGATGTGGTGACAATGCAACCTTAATATATACTGGTGAGACCAAAGCTCAAAGCTCTAAGTGAGAGAAAAAAAATGGCTTTTTAATAAGAATTAGTTAAAAGTGAGTAGTATAATAATTTCAAAAACAACTTGATAAAATCTTAAAGAGGAAATTATTACATCAGGGTGTGTTTTTTTTCTTGCGCAGGTCAGATAGGTGGTTCCGCCTATTCCCAAACTGGGGGCGCTGCAAACCCACTATGTATGTTGCACGATGATCTCTGGGGATCTAAAAAACCAGAAAACTACATGGCTGAAATTCGAGGTGCAGAGTACCAGGATGTCTTTTGGGGAAAACAGAAGTTTAGACAAGGACGTGCCATGCGCCGTGTGCTCGCCTATAGATGGCGCTAGTTTGTTAATGATCCCCGGAAGAAATAGATGCCTGCCTGGTTGGACAGAACAGTATCATGGGTATTTATCAGCAAACGCAAATACGCATCCGCATACTACAGCCTATATATGTGTCGACGAAAATGTAGAGTTTATGGATGGAGGTGCAGAAAATGACGAACACAGTTTCCTGATGTATGGTGTGCGCGCGCATTGCGGAAGTCTGAAATGTCCACCGTATGAAAACGGGAAACCCATAACCTGTGTTGTTTGTTCAAAGTAAATCTATTTAATAAAACAATTATGTAACATTGTGAGCGTCAGTTCCTAATAAAAATAACAATTAAAAAAAAATAATGATAACTTTGAAGTCGAAATTCTGTAACGATTTAAACTCAACACGTAATACAACTCTTCACATAATTTACTATGTTATTGATTGCTGAGTATTAACTTATTTGCAGTTGGATGCTTCCCTATGGAACGCCATAGCTGCCTTATGTGGTTTTTCATGAGAAGATGGTGCTTTATTATGTTATGCTGTGGTTATTTCATGTGAAGATGGTGCTTTATTATGTTATGCTGTGGTTATTTCATGTGAAGGTGGTGCTTTGTTATGTTATGCTGTGGTTTTTTCATGTGAAGGTGGTTTTTCATGTGAAGGTGGTCTTTCATGTGATGGTGGTTTTTCATATGAAGGTGGTTTTTCATGTGAAGGTAGTTTTTTTTATGTGAAGGTAGTTTTTCATGTGAAGGCGGTTTTTCATGTGATGGTGGTTTTTCACGTGAAGGTGGTTTTTCATGTGATGGTGTTTTTTTTTATGTGAAGGTGTTTTTTTTTATATTTAATGTGATGGTGGTCACTCGGAGCTCTTAATACTTTTAAAGACTGAGTTTAACACTGAGTTTAACTGCTATTATCTTGTTATATTATTTTAAAAGTGAAACAAATAGTCAATATAATTTAAATCATTTTAATACGCCATTGCTAGTTCCTCTTTTTTCAATAGGCACTTGGTTTCAGGATGGTGTATTTTGTGTATTATGTTTTTTTTCTAGCTATGTCTGCATTAACTCGATAACCTAAGAATAAAAAAAAAATCACTGAAATAAGCAAGTTTTAAAAATGTCATATTACTTTATATAAAAAAGAGTGAAGGTACGACAGTTGCAATCTTCGATTTTACGTCGTGCCCGGCTCGGTTCATACTTGATTTTGATTTATCAATATCTACACTTTTCCTACCAGTTTCGGGCAGGAATTCGGATGAAATCTACATTTAAAAATGATTGAATAACGCCTTTCAATCGTCTGCCAATTCGAACTTGCTTTATAAAATATGCAATAAACAAAAACGTCCTGATACCTAGAACTGAAAGTAAAAGCAATGGAAATGACGATTTTTAACCAAGTAAAATGTAGAGGCGTCCCGGAATAACGAGAACAAGTTTGGCGCGGTTTCTGACTTCCCTAGATTTTCCGAAGATGGCAACTGTTGTACCTACTCTCTTACTATATAGACTAATATGACACTTTTTAAACATGCTAATTTCAGTGATTTTTTTTTATTTTTATGTTTTTGAGTGTATTCAGACACACCTACAAAAAAATCATTATACACAAAATACACCATTTTGAACCCAAGTACCTAGATGGAAAAAAGAGGAACCAGCAATGGTGTATTAAAATGATTTTAATTACACTGACTTTTTGTTTCACTATCAAAATTTCAAGATAATAGCAGGTAAATTCAGTGTTAAACTTAGTCTTCAAAAGTATTAAGAGTTCCGAGTGACCACCATCACATTAAATATTTTTTAAAAAAAACTTTCACATAAAAAAACCACCAACACTTAAAAAACCACCTTCACATGAAAAACCACCATCACATGAAAAACCACCATCACATGAAAAACTACCTTCACATGAAAAACTACCTTCACATAAAAAAAACTACCTTCACATGAAAAACCACCATCACATGAAAAACCACCTTCACATAAAAAACCACCTTCACATGAAATAACCACAGCATAACATACCACAGCATAACATAATAAAGCACCACCTTCACATGAAATAACCCCAGCATAACATAATAAAGCACCATCTTCTCATGAAATAACCACATAAGGCAGCTATGGCGTTCCATAGTAAATACTTTCCGCAAATCGTTATTAAGCAATATAGACTGACGAACAGACTTATTAGTATTCTCCTACTGGCCTGTCCTCTTAGCTGCCTCTTACATTGTAACTATGCCGACTTGATAGAGCCTCGAAGGTGGGTGAATCCTATGAATCATGGGCCCATTCTGCAGATCCGGGAACTTGGGAATATCCTGTACTCTTCACTTAATTAATTTCGTTAAAATCATTCTACTACATACAGCGAGTTAAGATTGATGCAAAGCATCAAATCGACCGCTAAACTGAATCATTTTAAAGTATTTTCACTTGAAAGAGTTCAAGGAAAGCAGAAAATTTTCAAAGTAGAGAAGTATAATTATTTCTATTTCAAACCTGTATATCAGAGAGCTAAGAAATAGCAGAGTACACAGAGCTAGCACGTACCACTAGGACTTTAATTCAAGTGCATTTTCAAATAAAAAAAAACATTATAAATGATATGAATGTTTTATCACAGAAAATCAGATCTCTTGGATAAACCTTCCACGTGCAAATACCTTTAATTTTTGCCACATGGTAATACCGATGATTGCTGAACGGCAATACAATCTGAAATGCAAAGTGTGGGGGGAAATTTAATGTCATTCGCAGTTGTAGCATATTAAGAACAAATTTCACACGGTTTTCTAATTTTTCAATTTTTGTTTATCAATTTTGAAACTCGTAACGATCTTACTCCAATGTGGAGAGTACCTCTTGTAAACCCTTTTTATAAAATTATCAAATTTATAAATATCTAGTGAGAAAAGAAAAGAAAATTGAAAAGTAATAACAACAATTAGTTCTTAAAATAAAGGAAGTTTTTGATTTATTTCACCACAGGAGTTCGCGTATTTATCAATTAAACCGAAATTTTCAGTAAATAAAAAAAATACGTAATACCTATAATAACAAGAAAACATTGATGTAACCATCAATTGTCGCCCGGGAACAACGGAAATGAGTCTTGATCATCAAACCGCTTCGATATGTGTGAAAAAGGCATGCGTCTAAATGATGGAGACGATAGTCGAGAATATTTTGAAAACTTATAGTCGGGTGAAAATCGAACAAAAACGATACCCTTTTAAACTTTATCAATTCCTCAAGTAAATGTTGGCTGCATAAAATATAAATTGAAACCAGACACATGCATCACCTATTTTCAAAAATGTCTATCACTTTAAGAATATAAAACACGAACTGTGTAAAGTATGTTTTTACGTTTTTATGCGATAAGTAAAATTCGATGTTCTAAAAAAGGGGACCTGTCGTTTTTTCGATAGTAAATGATAAGCAACTTTATATAATAAATATGAAAAACATATATATTTTTACAGATTCACTTTAAGAAGTAAATATATTGTGTATCTCGTAATTTATAAAGGGAAAGAACATTCTGATTAACAATCTTTTTACTGTTTAGAAAACCTTTAATTCTGAATAACTTCTCCCACCTCAATCCCCATATACCAACACTTAAACTTATATGTATAGAGCAGCCCGGTCCTCCGGGCTGCAATAACACAAGGAGTGCAACGCATTCCAGGTCACCGGGGAATCCCTCTCTTAATATCGAGGCTGCCGCGCAATCAATTTTCAATCGAAAATTATAAAACACAAACCATTCTTTTCGGAAGGAACCATTCTTTATGTTAATTCATATGATTTGAAATGCCTGTTTAACAACAGTAGCAGTGACATTTCTCATCGACTTCGCTCAAACGTTGGTTGTCCGCGACGCCATTACGTGACGTTATAATGGGTGCGTTGATTTACCCCCAAAAAAAAACGCCAGAGATGAATAATAATATGGAAATTTAGATAATTTAAGGTTATGTTATGTTAAGGATATGAATCTTCTACAAACCAATTCAACAGTTCTCCGTTTTTACATACAGGTGTAAATAATGTGAAGAATACAACGTACAAAATGATACATGTAAGAAATCAAAATGAATTACATGTACTTCCAGTAGACAAATGATTTGAACGTAACAGGGAAATGTTTTGAGCAGTGTCTTTCTCCTAAGAGATAATTATCATTTCCTTTTGACATTCGAAACATCATTTCAAAAAATGCTTTGGGCACTTTTTGATATTCTTGCATGAATTGTGCGAGGGTCTGTACATGTATTTGTAAAATGAATTATTTAATAATGTAACACTGCATGCATGTGAACAAATTGTGAGTGATAAAGTTCAATAAAAAAAATCATATATCCCCCCAATAAATAGAAGTAAAATGGAAGCGCACGTCCAGCGATTGAACAACCCTTGAATATCAACCAACCCCCCCCCCCCCGACAACTTGTACGTCAACATTGTATTAAATACATCCCACATATATAGATGCTTATAAAATGGCCTCTTTTTTCTTGTTAAAACAACAAACAAATAATGATCAGAAAAGCTTACTTGAGCCTTCTGCTTAGGTGAACATGAGCACAAATTATAAGTGTTACGTTTTTTTTTTTTTTTTAAAATAAGTATTTAATAGGTTTTTTTATTTTTAGTAATCTGAAAACACACTGTATTTTTCATTTTGTTTGTAACATGGTTGTATGCCAACATGTTTGGTGAATCAATGAATTGAATTGAATTGAAAATACTAAAAATTTCGTTACAATTGATGGGTACGCCATCTTCCGTGATAGTACTGATTAAATTCTCAAAGTATACGATTGTTGAATAATCTTTTCGTTCTTCCTTTTTTTTACTTGTCAAAGATTTCCTCGCCAAAATTGAAGACACATTAACTTGGATTGGAACCCCCCCCCCCTCTACTTCCTGCTTTCAAGTTTTTTTAACACCTTAAACGTAATCTAGTATTAATATATGCTTAATTTTTA